GTGAGGATGTTGTCGTTTACGCTGGTGTAGCCTTGCATGTATCGCTGGAGAGTCTCGGGGGGTGGGAGGGAGTTAAGGAAGGCCGCTTGTTGCTCGGTGAATCCTGCGGCGGGGTCGAATGATTCGGGGAAGATGGCTTCGTACTCGGTTATGTCGAGGCCGGAGTCTTTGTCGGCTTCGCCGACGGGGATGGTCTTGGATGGGTTGAATGTGTCGCCGTGGATCCCTTTTAGGGTTATGAGTAGGTCTTCGGAGGACCGCTCGAGATTTTTGAGTCGTCGGCTGAGCTCGATACGGTCTGAGCTCTGGCGCTTGAGCCCGTCGAGCTGGCGCTGCTCGATTTGTCGTGCTTTGGCGGTCTCGCGGATCTTGTCGTGCCAGTGGCTGAATTTCTCTTGCTTCTTCGCTAAACTCGTAGCGAGGTCCCTGTCGATACCGCCTAGCGTGTCTTGGACCATTGAGCTGATTTGAGCCAATGTTGCTGGGAATATCATTAGTATGTTGAAAGTAGCTAGTTCCGAGGAAGCCTTACCATCTAGGATCTCCTTCTTTGTCTTGGCAAGCTGGTCCATGAACGAGTCTCGATTGCCAGACTGCTGAGATTGCCCATTCCCATCCACCATATCCACGCCAACCCCGTAATCCGCAGGTCGCAGACCCGTGTGGTTCGGAATGTGAGGATCGGCACCTACTTCGAGGAGTTGAGGCACCAAGACAGACCGTGCCCGTCCGGCCAGATTAAGCGCAGTGTCTCCTTGGTCGTCCCGGAGATTGACAATCTCGGAGACGAACCGGCCCAGAGTGATGACTTCGCCTGCCGGCGGGACGCTCTGGCCATTCTCCTGCGTCCCGTTGGGTGTCTGTTGGCTAGTGCCGCCGTGGCGGACAATGAACTCGAGTAACGCTTCCAAGTAATGTTTCGCCGACACGTGCCCTCCGCCTCCCGTGGCTGCCATGACCGCGATGTGGTGGAGAATCGTCCGCCCGCTGTAGTCAACCATGTCGATCGTTGGGGCCAGGATCTGTAGCAAGCGCGGGAAGCTCCGGTAATCGAGATTATTCCTCGTTCCAACCGACTTTTGCAACGCAGTTTCCCCGGCTCCGTTGAGGCGGAAGATAGAGACGCCCTTGGCGACCAGAGCATGGACCAGGGGCATGCGGGCCAGCATCGCCGCCCAATGCAAGGCGTTGTTCCGGTATTCGTCGAGTGGGATTTCCAGATCATCGCCGGTGAGCTGCATCAATGCCGGGTGGGTTGTATAATCCTTAGTCCGCTTATCGAGGAAGAGAGTCATGATGAGCTTCATCTTCTGGAACCGCTCGGGAGTGGTCGCCGGCGCAAGAGGCTCGTGGCCGGTCTTGTCTCCGTCCATCACGACAGAGGTCGGCACATCCATATCTTGGTAGAAGGAGTCGTTTGGCTCCGTCGGCGTAGGCTCGTTCATCGACAACGATGCCGGCTCGTACTGCATCCCGAACGACGGGGTCTGGTGGGAAGAAGACCTCATGCGCTTTCGCGGAGGCTCGATCGAATCCTCGTGCTCGAAGCCAATATGATCATGGGGAGTCCGCCCGTTGGCCTGGAAATTGCTTCCGAAGCCACTGTCCGATGTCATGCTGTACATGCTCTGCTGGCTGCCAAAAGGCATCTGGGACTCCTGGCTGTTCATCTGGGTCGACGGTTTGCGCACGACACTCGACCGCCGACTGTCCGCGCCCCGCGCGGCAGGGGAGTCGAACCGTGCCTTGCTCATGGCGTTGACAGCCGTCGCGGCGGTGCGAGAGATGTTCTGGAAGAACGTGCCTTGTTGGGGTTGAGACATCCCTCGGTTTTCCATCCCGCTGTAGAGTCGCTTCCGTTGCGCAGCCATCGCTTGTTCCTTCGTGGGGGTGTCCAAATGATCGCGCATGGAGCCACCGGTACCGTTGGATCCCATGTCGTATTCCAGCAGCGGCCGCAGCAATTCCTCGACGTGATACTCGCGACACAGGTCCACGCCCCTCTGGTACTGCACCCACGTTCCCTGATATTTGCCATACCCGCCTTGCACCTTCTCATGCTCACCCGCAGCAATCTCCTTCTCGAGCGTCTTCGTCCGTCGAGCTTTGACCACACCAGCCACCTTGAGGATCTGGGTAGCATTGAGCCACGAGTCGGAGCGACGCTTCATAACAGCGACACCATTGACCTCCATTTCGTAGACGTGGATATTAGAATAAACAGCCTAGCAGCAGAAAGAAGTTAGTCGAGACGTCTCCTGTCAATCAAAAACCAGTGACCACCGGCGCAGGGATACCGACCCGATAGATTTGCGGTCTAAACTCATCCGGATAAGGGATCATCGTCCCATACCCATTCACCTCCTCAAACCCACCCATGCTGCCCCGGGAGCCATGCGGCATACCGTTGGGATATGAGAACGACATGGCCGATTGTTGCGACATCTTGGGCGGAGGGGGCGTGGCTCCGGGCGTGGAAGCCACCGACTGAGAAGCGTTGAACGAGCCCATCTGCGACTGCGAGAAGGACATCCCGTTGGCGGAGCCGACGCTACTCTGGGAGTATGACATGGGTAAGCTGGGGCGCGCTGGGGGGTTGTTGGACGCCATGGCAGCGGTCGGATATCAGCGTCGGGGACCCAGCTCTGACACCATGCACGGGCAAGACCTGGACGACAATGATTGGATTGGGAAACCGTCGGATGGTCCTCGAGGCGACGATCGAATGCTCAATAGGCGTCACGGATATCAAGAGCCGTGAAGAAAAGCGAAAAGCATGTGGGGAAAGTGCAGCTATCCTAGGAGATCTCCCGACCAGGCGTCGGACAGGCGCGCGAGGAGGCGAAGAGGCGCGTGGCTAGTGCCGGGACCACGAAAGGGATGAGGACGGGATGCCAGCTGGCACAGAGACGAGTTAGCAAGCAGTGCAAATGATTGCAAAAAGCAATCTTTGATCGATGTCACTCTGTATATTTCGAGAACAGTTCTATCCCCATGCAACGATTGGCGGTGTTGAATTTGCAGGAATGGACTGATTACAGGCTCGAAAGTCGCGGGGTCCGGCCGTCCTTCTTGGGGTCGCGTTTTGGGCCTAGTGTTTCGCGTAAGGAGCTGCCCCAGGCCAAAAGCATGTATTTCCCGATCGGGTTAGTCTTACCAAGCCTTTGCTCCGAGGACTCCAGACGTTTATACATGGTGAGAGCTGCTCTCGATTTCTAGCTAAAACACCTCCAGCTGTTTTCCTTTCTCAACTTCATACACCATGGACCGCTTCCAATCAGGGGCAGTTCACCCCCAAGAATGGTCCCGCCTATACAGATGTCTCCTCCGCGAATGCTCCTACCTCCCGGACCCCGTCGCCCGAACACACATGCACAGCTACGTCGTCCAGCGCTTCCGCCGCTACTGCCAACCAGTCGTAAAAGACGACCTCAAGAGCGACTGGAACCGACAGAGCCGACTGCTGCGCACAGGGAAACAAAGACTGTCACTCCTCACACGCGCCAACGAGGGCTACCTCAAGCCATTCGAAAAGGTTCTGCGACTCGCCTACGGACGCGAAGGGCCGCAGAGACACGCCTGGACAGACAAGATGATCGAGAGCGACGTGCCACATGACAACGAAGCGGTGGAGGAACTCATGAAGCAGCCGTCGCAGTTCGAGGACGGGTGGAATCCCCCCAAGATCGTCGTCGAGCTGTTGCGCTCTCAGCAGGGGAACCCCAATCTCCAGCAGCTGCGCCATAAACAGCCTAAGCAGCTCGCTCCTGTGATGCGCAAGACTGTCTGGGGGAAGGATCCTTGTTTGCGCCGCCGGCGGAATATACGCAGGACGTGGTATACCAAGGTGAAGGCGGGTTTGCTGCCGCCGATGCCGGATACGGAGCGTGCGACGTTACTGGGGTTGATGAGTGGCGAGATCCCGTGGAATGCGCCGGCGCGGCGGACAAAGGCGAGGCCGACAGAGAAGGTGAAGGCGACGGAGGGAGAGACCGTTCTGAATAAAGAGCTCCTGCTGTATGGGCCGAAAAAGGGCGACACGTTCGAACGGTTTTCGAGTGGACGGCCGCATGTGTTCACCCTGCGCTTTATGCGGAGGTCCTGGAGACGCATACTGGCCATGACGCCACATATCGAGTGGGATAGTCCGGCGAAACGGCGAAACATTCGGTGGGAGCCACTGAGGGAGGCTTCGAGCTTGTTCGAGACACTCGAGGGAGATGATACTATTTTCTGGACAGCTGGAGACAGACAGGCGACTAAGACGGTCAATGCTGAGCAGTAGACAGGCAGAGGTTTGCTTGTGGAATTGAAGCTATGGATATCTCGAGGTGTTCGAAACACTCGAGGGGGACCATACCATGTTAAACCGGCCGAAGACAAGAAGACCAAGACGGATTGATTACTTCGACTTGGAAGTGTACAAGCGACGCTATCCTTGAGGGCTCGAAGCGATGAATAGTTCGATTCCGGCTACTAAGCTGCCCAATGGCAACACCACGTCTATGCGGCAACGACAGTACGTCGCAAAACACCACAGAACAATACGCTGCACGACACCTCTATCCGATCTGATAATCCAACCCGCAAAGCCAAAGGCTTCCATTTCATCAGACAAACAGACAGACAGACACGAATGACACGAGACCTTACCTATCTATATCCTTCCATTTTTAACGATAAATACAACAATGTACATCCACATCCCAACCATCCTCCTCACTAGAGTCTTCCTCCTAACCCATCCGTTCTGACGCTCTCCCCACCATCGCTAGAGGTACACATACATACATACATACACATACACATAACAACTAATTCCTACCCAACTACCTAATATGCAGGATAGAATCTGAAATCAATCTTACTCCAGGGAATCTTTCACGCGCGATTCCGAATCCAGTTCTAGCTAGGGCTGATGCAGAAGGGATATGGGGGGGCTTTTAGACATGATGACACAAACTTTGGGAGCAACAAATTAAATTTAGTCTAGTTTCTGTTCCGCATGTAGCTGATTTAATTATACGAAATACAGGAGATGCGTGTGAGTTAATCGGGTACTTATTCTACTGGAATGCCATCACAGTAAGTGTCTTTGTTTAAAAAAGGATATCAAAGCTAGCAGTGAGGAGTTCTTCCGAAGAGGGTTCGCAGCGTCTTCACTCTGGCGTTCCACCAAGCCAGGTACGAAACTAGTCACTATCGCTGGAGCTGGAGCTAGAGCTAGAGCTGGACCCGCTCTTCTTGTGCTTCTTGTACTTCTTTTCCTTCTTGTGCTTCTTATGCTTCTTGTGGCTGTGAATAGTTAGCAGTGTCCACATACCAATAGACATAGGGGAAAGATCAAAGAAAGAAGGAGAGAAGAAACTCACTGCTTCGTAGCCGCATTCATCCCCACGGCACCCGCCAAGGCACCCCCAGCCGTACCCAACATGCCACCTCCCATCTTATGACCGACGAAGCCACCACCGGCAGCGCCCAAGATGGTAGAGCCTAGACCCCTCTCGCCCTCGGGTCCGACGGGCCCTGGGCCCATGTGCGCACCGCCCTGCTGCGGATGGCCACCATAGTACGAGGCGGCGCCGCCATGTTGATCGGCGGGGGGTACGGCGAGTGGCCGGCACCGCGATCCTGGGGATAGCCCTGTCCGGGGTAGCCGCCCTGATGCGGGGCGGGAGAACCGCCGTAGGAGTACTGCGGCGGGGGCGCTCCCGAGTACTGGGGGTTGGAGTGCTGGTCGTAGGGCTGTTGAAAAAGGGAAGTAAGTAAATAAGTAGATACACAAGTGATAGATCAAGGAGAATGATCAGCGCGGGGGTTGGTATGCAGCAGTGCGTCTACCCTGCAGTAGTGTGTCTGCATGGAAGGTGTGGAATGCGCGTCTCGGGGAGGGAGGGGCAAAAGGGTGTTTCTAGACCGAGAAACTTACCGAGGGCGGATAGTGACCTCCTTGAGGTTGTTGTTGGTGATGTCCGTACGGATCATGGGCCGGGGGAGCACCGTATCCGGGTTGAGGGTGGCCTCCACCGTAGTAGTCCTGGCCGGAGCCGGGCTGCGGGGGAGCGCCTCCGTAGGGAGGGTAGTAGTTGTTGTTATTGTAGGAGCCTGACATACTGATAATGGGAACGACGATAAGGATGTTTTGGTGCTCCGTTGTGTGTGTATCGAAGGATGTAGGAGGGTGGGTAGATGGGTAGGTGTATGCAGGCCAAGAAGGGAAGCGGAGAAAAAGAGGCCAGAGAGAGAAAACAGGAGGGGCAGATTAGATGGTGAGATGGGAGGAGGGATGGTTTTATTACGGAGGAAAGAGAGACCCCGGTAGATGGGATGAGGGGGGCAGTGTCGGGACTCGGTTAGTATGGTCTGTGGTATTCAATCTCTCTTTGACTGGATAACTTCTGCTATTTATATATGTGGTGGAATTGATAGTGGAAAGGTAGAGGGGATAACTACAGTATGTTTCAAGTAAGATCTATGAGCTGTGAATTAATGCAGTGGTGACAGGTAAACTCATTGTTGAGGGGCTGGGGAGATGATGATAAGCGGGGCGAGGGGATTCCACTGCTTTGGAACTAGTGAATATTGGCATTGTCAGACACGGCTGCATTTTCATAAGGAGTCTCAGCTGTTCTTGTGTTGGTCATATACTACAGCCATAGCTAGATCTAGGTAGTGATAAGGTAGATACAGTGAATTGTCATCATTAGGTATACATGAGGTTGACTTGACGATGGATTACTTGAAAATGTCATACTGACTGAGTCAGGACGAGAGTGGAGATCATGATTGATAAATGCCAGATTTCTAGGCTGTCAATACTATAGTCAATCTGACCTCATCTGGGTCTCAGCATGACGAACTCCAGGTCTCTAGAATAATGTTATACTTCAGGCAGCAAAGAGACTCATGATAAAGTTATATCGGTCCCTTATAGTTACGGCATGAGTAAAAACATATAGTATGGTATGATGCCGTAATGGTACCTGTATTATTCCACAATTTCGCACCAAGGAGAAATCAGACGGATATACATAGTTAGTACCAGTACGGAGTACTCCGTACTGAGAGGAAGAGGAAAAATGTGAATACCGTGTCTAACTCGATACCCCTAATCTCGCTAGAAACCCGACGAGACTGATGTACTCCCTCGTACCCACTACCAGGTACTACGACGGAGGTACCTATCGGTACCTAGTCCTACGGACTCCGAAATATACAATATGGTTAAGGTTTGACCCACCAAAGAGGGACTCGCCACTCCTTTTCGCGGGGATAAGAGTTCAACTATCTCCATGCAGAATACATTTTAAATCTCTATTTGATTTAAAAGGGAAAAAGAAAGAAAGAAAGCGGCGGTGAACGGAGAAAGGCGGTATGGTTTCAGCCTGTCAGAGTTGCGACCAAAATAACCACCAGCAGCCAACCGAGTGGGATGCTCACCCTCCATCAGAAAGGGCTTCTCTTTTGGAGGAAAGGTCAAAGCCATGTTATTATGCGGTCATTATTCGCTGGTGGCCAGGAAGGCGATGAGGCATCAGCACGTTCATGAGGGCGAGACCGGAAAGAAATCTCGGAGAGTCCATGGCTGAGTTGAAGTCTATATTTTTATTTCAATCATTCTTTTATACATTGTATATCATTGGTTGGAATTAACCAAGGAGTGTCAAGATAAAAAAAAAAAATAAGGAAAAAAAAAAGAAAGAAAGAAAAGCAGAGGAAAAGACTGCGCCACCGGTGGCGACCGAGATAATGCCAGCATCTGCAGGCCAACACAAAAGACACTAACTGATGGTTCTCTATATCCCCGGATTACAAGCCAGGACTACAGGACTGACTCTGAAAGCCAATAAACATCGCATTGATTACTATTTGTTGTAAAGTCTTGATGTTGAAAATAATTTAGTTTCGTATCATCATTCTGTAACACGAGTAATCCAGGCACGGATCTGTTTGACTTTCACCATCATCATAAATCATCGGAGTAATTAATAAGAAAATAAAGTAATCAATCAAATAACATAATCCCACGTCAGAATACACGAAGATCAAAGAAAGGGGCTCAGCTTGGAATTCCAACGGTGAAGTACGGAGTACATTAGATGGGAATTGCCTCAGGCCGGGATCTGTCACGCTGTCCGAGCCCTAAACAGTCCATCTATCTCGAAGAAAACTCGAATGTCCTCAATACAAAGACACTTCTAGTCTTTTCGATCAACCCAACACTTAATAGGTAGGTATTCTACCTCATATTGAGTAACAACCACTAAATGATACCAGAACCGCCACGGGCCCTATCGGACTGGTTGCTTCGACAGTCATCGCCCCTAAACCGAATCCGGCTCTAGTGCGGGACAGAGAGGCAGAAAAAAGTGGGTTGGATAAAAAAATTGTTAAAAATTTTTTTATCTTTCGGGCGGCGAAAAAAAAAATTCAGGCCACAAACCGATAAATATCATCCCTCCCCATCCATTTTTCTTCCTTTCCCCTCCTTCTCCCCTCTTCCTCCTTTCATCTATCCCTCTCTCTCTCTCTCTCCCCTAATCTCTTCTTGGAGATCTGGTCCTCTCTTTACTTTGAGACCTTTCTGTTTCTTTTTCCTTTTTCTTCTTTTTTTATATCTGTCTCGGACGGATTTTAAAAGGAAGCCTCAAAAGTCTTAGATTTTTTTCTTTGGCTCCTCGTCAAGCGTCTTCTGCGTCGTTTCATTTCTTCGGACGCAGTTTTCGTGGCAGCCTCCTCTTTTCTCAAGATACCCGGTTTAGAACGATATCGTTGTCTTTTACAAAATGCCTGCTGTTGATGTTGCTTCCGTCCCTGCCGTCTCCGGTAAGGAGACCGCTCAGACCGTCGCCGTTCTCGAGGACCTCCTCAAGAACCTGAGCATCTCTACTACCCAGGACCAGGTGAACGAGGCCTCCAGCAACTTGGCCACCCTCCTCAGTGGCCCCATCCCCGAGCAGACTCTGCCCCTCAAGGCCGTCGAGTCGCTCCAGAAGTCCCTGGGCAACAAGAAGGATGCCAACGCCCGTGAGCGTGCTCTGGACGCTATCCGCGCCATCGCCTCCCACTCCACCATCGACCCGGCCGTCGAGCCTCACCTGGTCACTCTCCTGCCCTCCGTCCTGGCCGCCGCCGGTGACAAGGTCCCCGCCGTCAAGGATGCCGCCATCTCCGCCGCCAGTGCCATCGTCAAGGGTATCAACGGCAACGCCGTCAAGGCCGTCCTCCCCCCTATCCTGGAGTCCATCAGCTCCGCCCAGAAGTGGACCGAGAAGCAGTGTGCTCTCGACTGCATCAACTCTCTCGTCGAGTCCGCCCCCGCTCAGCTGTCCTTCCGTGTCCCCGAGCTGATCCCCGTCGTCTCCGAGGCCATGTGGGACACCAAGGCCGAGATCAAGAAGTACGCCTACTCCACCATGGAGAAGGTCTGCGGCCTGATCGTCAACAAGGATATTGAGCGCTTCATTCCCGAGCTCATCAAGTGTATCGCCAAGCCCCAGAACGTCCCCGAGACCGTTCACTTGCTCGGTGCCACCACTTTCGTGTCCGATGTCACTGGCCCCACCCTGGCCATCATGGTCCCCCTGCTGGATCGTGGTCTTACCGAGCGTGAGACCGCCATCAAGCGTAAGACCGCCGTCATCGTCGACAACATGTGTAAGCTCGTGGAGGACCCTCAGCTCGTCGCTCCCTTCCTGCCCAAGTTGATGCCCGGCCTCAACAAGAACTTCGACACCCTCGCCGACCCCGAGGCCCGTGGCAAGACCCGCCAGGCCCTCGACACCCTCAGCCGTGTCGGTGACGTCAAGGACGGTAAGATCCCCGAGATCTCCACCGCCGGTGACATCTCCACCGTCTCCGCCATCCTCAAGGAGATCCTGGCCCCCAAGTTCAAGGCCCAGGCCGACAAGGCCGAGGCCGTCATCAACTACGTCGGTGCCATCGCCGGTCAGCTCGTCGACGAGAAGGACAGCGAGATCACCAGCTGGACCCAGAACGCCCAGCCCTACATCAGCGCCATCGTCGGTGAGGGTGAGGCCAAGGCCATCGCCGAGACCCTCCGCAAGCGTGCCTCCCCCGAGGCCGCCGCCGCGGACGCGGTCCCCTCCGACGAGGAGGAGGGTGAGGACCTGTGCAACTGCACCTTCTCCCTGGCCTACGGTGCCAAGATCCTGCTGAACCAGACCCACCTGCGTCTGAAGCGTGGCCAGCGCTACGGTCTGCTCGGCCCCAACGGTACCGGTAAGACCACCCTCATGCGCGCCATCAACAACGAGCAGCTCGAGGGCTTCCCCAAGAAGGACGAGGTCAAGACCGTCTACGTCGAGCACGACCTCGACGCCGCCGACACGGAGCAGACCGTCCTCGGCTGGACCCTGAAGAAGCTGCGTGAGGTCGGCATCGACCCCAACGAGAAGGAGGTGTCCGACAAGCTCGAGGAGTTCGGTTTCCTCCGCGAGCAGCTCGAGGGCCCCATCACCGCCCTCTCCGGTGGCTGGAAGATGAAGCTCGCCCTGGCCCGTGCCGTGTTCGAGAAGCCCGATATCCTGCTGCTGGACGAGCCCACCAACCACTTGGACGTCAAGAACGTCGCCTGGCTGGAGAACTACCTGTGCACCTCCCCCTGCACCTCCATCATCGTCTCCCACGACAGCAAGTTCCTCGACAACGTCATCCAGCACGTCGTCCACTACGAGCGCTTCAAGCTGAAGCGTTACCGTGGCTGCCTGAGCGAGTTCGTCAAGAAGGTCCCCGCCGCCCGCTCCTACTACGAGCTCGGCGCCAGCGACATGGAGTTCAAGTTCCCCGAGCCCGGTTTCCTCGAGGGTGTCAAGACCAAGGCCAAGGCCATCGTCCGTTGCAGCAACGTCACCTTCCAGTACCCCAACACCCCCCGTCCCCAGATCATGGACATCAGCTTCCAGGTCTCCCTGGGCTCCCGTATTGCCGTCATCGGTCCCAACGGTGCCGGCAAGTCCACCCTGATCAACGTCCTGACGGGTGAGCTGGTCCCCACCGCCGGTGAGGTCTACCAGCACGAGAACATCCGTATCGCGTACATCAAGCAGCACGCGTTCGCCCATATCGATAACCACCTCGACAGCACTCCCTCCGAGTACATCCAGTGGCGTTTCCAGACCGGTGAGGACCGTGAGACCATGGACCGCGCCAACAAGATCGTCACCGAGGAGGACGAGAAGGCGATGGACAAGATCTACTACATCAACGACACCCCCCGCCGCGTCATCGGCATCCACGGCCGTCGCAAGTTCAAGAACACCTACGAGTACGAGTGTTCGTTCCTGCTGGGTGACAACCTCGGCATGAAGAGCGAGAAGTGGACCCCCATGATGACCGCCGACAACGCCTGGATCCCCCGTCCCGACATCATCCAGTCCCACGGCAAGATGGTCGCCGACGTCGATCAGAAGGAGGCCCTGGCCAGCGGTCAGTTCCGTCCCCTGGTCAAGAAGGAGATCGAGCAGCACTGCGAGCAGTTCGGCCTGGACGCCGAGCTGGTTTCTCACTCGCGTATGCGCGGTCTGTCCGGTGGTCAGCGTGTCAAGGTCGTCCTGGCCGCCTGCTCGTGGCAGCGTCCCCACGTCATCGTCCTGGACGAGCCTACCAACTACCTGGACCGTGACTCTCTGGGTGCCCTCTCCAAGGCCCTCAAGTCCTTCGAGGGTGGTGTTGTCATCATCACGCACTCGCGTGAGTTCACCGAGAACCTCACCGAGGAAGTGTGGGCTGTCATGGACGGCCAGATGACTCCTTCCGGCCACAACTGGGTGACCGGTCAGGGCTCCGGTCCCCGTCTCACCGAGAAGCAGGGCGACGAGGAGATTGTCGATGCTATGGTATGTTTTCACACTGATCCCCAACCAAGTCATAACCCCCCAGATCATCCGCTAACAACATCAACAGGGCAACAAGACTGTCGTCGAGAAGAAGAAGAAGCTCACGAGCTCCGAGCTCCGCAAGAAGAAGAAGGACCGCATGGCCCGCCGCAAGCGCGGAGAGGAGGTCTTCAGCGACGAGGAATAAATGTTTGGAATGAAGCCAGATTGTCCGTTGGGATAGATGAATGGTTTGAAGGAGAAAAAAAAAGGAGGGCGTCGGATTACCTCTGGTAGCTGGTTTACTTGCCGTGATGTTGCTCATAGATTTAAGATTTAATGATCGTACGAATTTCACTTTGCTTCGGAATTCACTATTACCTACTGTAGAGTAGTAGTATCTCTGTAGTATCTATGCCTAAGTGTTGTCATTCGGCCTAGACTGTAGTGCAAGGCTCTATCTGTGTATTATTTTGTCGCCGCACAAAAGCAGACCAGCCATATAAAGAGTTCCAAAATCACTCAACCACCAACACCCCCCTTTTCCCCCTCCCCCTCTCACCTCAATCTAATCAGCGTTCTGTTCAACAAGAAGCCGTGTCTTTGAAATTTATCCAACGAACAACTAAACATTATCCATGATGATCAATATGAACCATCTACCCAAGCATACCGACCAACCGTAACTAGTTCCCTCACTTCTAGTAGAAGCATGCATGATCATCCATCATTGCATAATAGCCCAGAGAGATGCTACAGTGTATCAAACGTGTCAGCTAGTAAAAAGCTACTAGCGATTCTCAAGCCATGAAGATAGTAGTGCAAATGAGGCATGAAATGATCAAGGCGGTAGGTAGTAGACGGAGTGGAATAGAGATGGATTCTCACTTTCTGAGTACCTGTCGAAATAATGATATCCGGTGATACTACTGAAGCGCTGTGGTGTATAGCTGGTTCAACTTAGCCAAGATTCATATATGAATTAATCTGGCCATGCTATTGATGCTATTGATCCTTGTTCTACGGCTCTGCTCTAAGTTTTTTCTTATATCTTTGTGTAGTGTAATAGAAAAGTACGGAAGATATCTCGAAACTCTTTACGTTTCGTCGTAAGTAACCTTATATTCCGTTGATACTACCACTATCAAAAGATATCTACGAAGGAATCCCAGCATGCTCCCTCAAAATTCCATTCAACCCCTCCCGCAAAACACACTGCTCAAAGGCAAAGCTCTTCGCCAATGCATCCAACTCCTCCACCCCCAATCCACGAAACAAGCCCGCGAACTCCTCCGCAAACGAGCTCGCCACAAACGTCTGGAACACATTCCTCAGCAGATGCCTCTTCGTATCCCACGGCGTGGGGTAAGTCTCCTTCGCAGCCGGCGCCACCCCATCAATCCAGTCCACCAGCGGCTGCAGCGCAGCCTCGGGCGATCCCGCCTCGTTCGTAGAAGAAGGCTTCCTCCCCCACGCGTCCAGCCACAGATGGCTCTTCTTGTCGAGGAAGGACTGGATGGTCGAGTTCCATTTGCTGGTGGGGCTGGTGTGCACCATGCCTTGGAGGCCGATGTCCTTGTACAGCCAGATGCTCCAGTGGATGCGGTACTTGTCGTAGATGGAGAGCTGGTCGCCGAGGAGGTTGTAGCGTGCTTGGTTGGTGGTTGCGGCTTCGGGGTCGGTGCGTGGGTCCGCGTAGACGGGGCCGAACTCGCCGTTCCAGGTTGCTGTGTTGTTGCGCGTCATGAAGTCCGCTTTGCGAAGGTATTGCCGTTCGAGGGTCTGTTTTTGTTCCGGGGAGCCTGTGTAGCGTTCGCCTGTGGGGAAGCCCATTGACTGGTGGAGATCGGGTTAGTGTGGGGTTTGGTTTGGGGTATGGGATAGAAGGAAGAACGTACGGAATAGTCGTGCATGGCGTAGATACTGTTTGGGAGGACCTGGTCGAATCCCTTCCACTCCATGGCGAATGTGTTTCCGTCTAGCCAGAGGATGTGCTCGGGGTCCACGGCCCGGATGGACTTCTCGATGCGTGCGTAGAAGGCTGGAAGCCGGACGTGCTCCGGATCGCAGGGCTCGTTGAGAGGGTTGTACCCCGCGACCCATGGGTTGCCCCGGTATCTGGCGGCGATTTGCTCCCACAGCCACACGGTCCGATCCTGGTGGTCCTTGTAGTCCCAGAAGGCGGCGTAGCTGGTGGTGTTATCAGCGTGCCAATCGCCGTTTTGACCGCCGGGTGCTGTGTGCATGTCGATGATGGTGTAGATCTTCTCTTTGGCGCACTGTTCAGGGTGGATTCTGGATCAGTATATTGGGTGCCTGTTCACGGCTGACTGTGCAGGTACTCACCAAGTCAATCACCCGGTCTAGATGTTTAAAGCCCGACTCTTTCAAAACCCGGGGGTTCATGTCATCCTCCAGATGGCGATAGTTGAATGGAAGGCGGAGGCAGTTGAGACCCAGAGATGCGAAGAACTTGGCATCTGCCTCCGTGAAGAAATACTCGAGGAACTTGTCGAAGAAGAACTCGTACTTCTCAGCGCCGAGGGCCTTGCGCATGGCAGCCCGGTGCTGCGACTCGTGACCGGGGTAGCCGGTGATGAAGTTCTCCATGCTGAATCCATAATGTCAGAATGCTCATCTTTCCATCTTAGAAGGGTGCATACTTCATCCATCCGCCAAGGGCAGCACCCCGGAGAAGCACCTCGTCTCCATTCTTGTCGAGGACTTTGTTCCCGTCCACTCTAAGAATGCCAGTCGCCATGTTGAAGGTAGTAGATTGAGTTTCTATCGTGCTATGCTTGGTAAGTTGCTCCTGCAAAGGGGAAACCCGTGGGCAGATAAATAGTGAGGGGGGGCTGGCGAGAGGAACTACAACGCAGTAGCCGGATGCCGGTAAAATGCACGCCTCACACCAGATTCATGACGTGTTAATCCAGTTGGAGACGTCGAAGAGGGGTAGTCCGCAGCACTGTGATAGTGTTGTATGCAGTGACCCCATGTCCTGGAGTAGGGGTCTCGCGGGTAAAGGGATGATTTAGCCTGTTATGGGCCCTGTCATGGGCGTTGGCCCAGCCTTACGTACTTTGCATATCAGGCGGCCTATTGTCGGTATCTAGCCCATTATGGTCACTTGAATCTTTTTCGAGAAAGCGATCCACAGCCTAGACATATTGGACCATCATCCTGCGGGGGCTTCGAAGGATTTGCCCTGCGGGGTGGTATGCATCCTCATGGGTGTCTCTCGATCAAGACCACATTCCAAGAGCGAAGTTTCCCCATTCAGCCATTGCTTTGAGTACATTATGTCATTTCTCAATATAGTTTAGGTCTGATATAGCTATCAACCAGTATGTACCCCGTACTCTAAAGCAGCTATTAGCACTCGAACATGTCCATGATCCAGTTAAATTTGACTTGCCTGAGTTATCATGGTGATAAAAACCAATACATATATAACAAATATCAAATAAGACAAATCCAATTGATTATCAGTTACATGCGATGTGAGATGGAATGAAGAGAGACGCGATGTCAGTCGAAGAAGTAGATCCAGTATCCAGTGCGTGGGTATAGTGCCCATAAGATCCCGCTCTCATATAAACCAGCTAATGCCACACTACTACCACAGCACTCTATTTCCTTATCGATAAGGCAGAAACGGGAGAAAAAAAAAAAAAAAAAAAAGACCCCGCAGGATTCCAGCACGATCCATGAAGATTAGAATTCACGATTATCAATCATCTCTCCGTCCATCCAGCTTCCTAGCGCATCTTCTGTCAAGATTTCCCCTCCAATCTCCCGGGAATCCATTCTCTACTTCTCAATTGCCGCTATCTAGAGGATGATCCTGTCGTGAACGGTTGATTGAAAATGGCAGAAGGCTCCACGGCGTACCCCGCCTCATTAAATTCCTTGTTCGATACGGAGTCACCCCTCCACGACGTGTATGAACCCGTCCGATTAGTCGACGGAGACATAGTCCCCATCTTGCAGCTGCCTCTGGCACAATCCATCTTTGGTCAGAATGCAGACGACAGCGCTCTGAGCCGTGTCTCGAATGGGGAAATCACCTACACCACGTTCTTGGCGGAGCGGACCAAGGCCGTTGCCCAAGAGACCCAGGATGGCTTGACCCCCGAGCAACAGCGCTCGCAGCTGCTTCACATCGGACTGGCTGCGCTCTTTGGCTTCCTACAGTCGAACGTCACGGGGCCGCCGTTGGCCTTCAGCCCTGCCGACGTTGTCATCCCTGCTGCACTGCGACCCAGCCCCGCAGTTCTTAAGTCGGTCCGCGATGCCATGATCCGTGGCCTCTCGGTCGACGGTGAGGCAGCGTACAAGCTGACGCCGAATGTGGAGCTCTTTGCCGTGGCCAAGGCGATCTTGGTCGATGCGGGCCTGTCGCTCGCCGACGCGCCCCTGGTGGCTAGGACCGCGAGAATGCGCGTGAACTTCCTGCACCAGAAGATGCTCTCGGAAGTCACCGGCGCTCTTCAAGATGCCATCTATGGTGATCTGGAGGAGTTGAGCAAGTTCGTGCTGAGCGATAAGTCGACTGCGCAAGACAAGGGCAGATTCTTGGTCGAGAGAGCCACGATTCACACTCATCATGGCTACGACGCCAAGGCCCGGCAAGATCTCGAGAAGGCTGCCGACGTGCGGAAGTTCGAGTTTGCTCTGACCGGCAAGATGGGAAAGAGGACCAAGTTCCAAGACCGCGATATCAGTCAGCTGGTGATCTTGGCCAAGACCAACGAGGAGATCTCAAGTAGTGGCCAGGGTGAATCGCAGCCCTCGGCTCCCAAGAAGCTGGACCTTAATGATGATACCCTGTTGGAATCCATCTCTTTTACCAAGGACGAAGGCCAAGAATCCCAGGGCAAGCCAGTGACGGTCCAGGACGAGTCCACCCTGCCGCCGGCATTGGCGTCTCTTGATCCCGGAGACCAGCCCCGGCTGGACCCTGTGGATTCCGTCATTCTGCTTGCCCTCGCCTCGGCCATCACCAACACGGCCCCCGAAAATGGCCTGACGCGAGAGGAGACCCACCCCTATGCTTCGCGTGTCCTCGAAGGCGGCAGCTCAAACTGGCAGATTTACACCCAGGCGCTGCTGCTACGAAGCCGCATCGAAGGCTACAAGGCCCGGACAGTGGAGCGAGCGGTTCTGCAGATGCAAGCGCTTGTGGACCAAGTCATTGCGGACACGGCAAGCCTCGACGCAAACGCGGGCGACTCGACGCAAGAGCCCACGACATTCCTGCCCCGGCCCGAGAAATCCGAGTCCGCCTCGGCCGCCGAGCGACTGGAGTACATCTGGATCCTCAACTTCTCGACCCGGTGGGACCTGGAAGCGGAACTCGCCACGAGATGGGTCAACCTCGGTGGCTTGCGTACTGCCCTTGATATCTACGAACGGCTGCAGATGTGGGCGGAAGCCGCGCTGTGCTACGCCGCCACGGAGAGAGAAGAAACAGCCAGACTCATGGTCCGCAGACAGCTGTACGAGCGCACAAACAAGGACGCCGAAGACGAGAACGACAGCTTCGAGGGCCCCGAGCTGTCCCCTCTCCCGGCCAACGCCCCGCGCCTGTTCTGCATCCTGGGCGACATCAACTCCGACCCGAAGATGTACGATCGTGCCTGGGAAGTGTCGGGTAACAGATACGCCCGCGCGCAACGCTCCCTCGCGCGCCACTTCCTCACGCTGAAGCCCCCCGCCCTGGAAAAGGCCGAGGAAGCCTACCACAAGAGTCTCGACATCAACCGCCTCAACCACGGCGCCTGGTTCGCCCTCGGCTGCGTGCAACTCGAGCTCAGCCACTGGGACGACGCCATCGAATCCTTCACCCGCACCGTCCAACTCGAAGACAACGACGCCCAAGCCTGGAGCAATCTCGCGGCCGCCATCCTCCGCTCGCCCAAGCCCTCGGAGACAGCCACCAACCCAGTCGACCTCGAAGACCAACCATCCGACGACGACAACGATGACGAGAACGCGCCGAAAAAAGCAGCCCCCCAAGACCCCTACAAGCGCCAGCGCGAAGCCCTCACAGCACTCCACCGCGCGGCCCACCTCAAACACACCGACGCCCGCATCTGGGACAACGTCCTCACAGTCGCCGCAGCAATCCCACCCCCCTACACGCCCTTCCGAGACGTGGTCACCGCGCAACGCCGCCTCGTCGAACTCCTGGGTCCCAAAAAGGGCGAAGCAGCCGTCGACGCACCCATCCTGAGCATGCTCGTCGACCACCTCGTAACAGCCAACGAGTACGAGCAGCTGCTCATCAAAGTCGACGCCAACGACAACAACTCCGAATACGTCATCCGCAGCGGCACTATCGCTGGCCAGATCCTCTCTCTCATCGACGACGGCATCGTCCCGCTCATCACTCACTCCGCCCCGCTGTGGCTACTCGTCGCAGAGGTCGAAGCCTGGCGCCAGCGGCCGTCGAAGGCTCTTGAGGCTTACGAGAAGTCCTGGCGCGCGACCGTTGCATCGGCCACGCAGGGCGCGTTCCAGATGGGCGATGAGAAGCGCTGGATGGATGTTGTGCGCGCAACGGAGCGGCTTGTGCGCAGTGGGTATGCGAAGTATGGGCCTATGGATAGGGAGGGGTCTGTCCCTGCTGAGGGGGAGGAGGCCGAGATGGTCGCGAAGGATTGGAGGTTCAAGGCGCGGAGTGCAGTGAGGGGGATTTTGGGCAAGGGCAAGGAGTTCTGGGAGGATAGTGATGGGTGGGCGAGGTTGAAGGAGTTGCAGAGTGAGGTGGGGAGTACTTGATACATACATAGTTTGCTTGATTCGTTACTAGATATACAAAATGGGTTTCTTTGCTTTCATTTCATTTCTTTTCCATTCCTTGATCAGGACACAAAATAAGTCATGTAGCCAGTCTCACTACTAATAACATAAAGTAGACTACCTCCCCTCCACCTTCCTCTTCACCATCCCACAAAAACTCTCAAACAACACCGTATCCGCCCCCTTCGCCCACCTCACCAACACCCTCACGCCCCCTTCCCTATCCCTATCCTCCAATACGCCCTCCTTCTTCAGCTGAATCTTAAACCCTAGCGCGGCATCCTCCTCGTCCACACTCGCCTTCTGCATCTCCAACGACGTATCGCTGCTCTTCAATTTGCGCCGCGCCTGCCGCGACCACACGTTCTCCATCGCGAACCCAATCCCCGTCGCTTGACTCTTGTGCCAGACCCACTGCACGGGGATCTCGACGAGCTCGGAGTCGAGCTTGTGGCCGATGTCGTCGATTGATGCGTGCGCGATATCGAATGTGTATTCTGAGGGGAAGGGGAGGAGGTGTTTGGGGAGGCCGGTTATTGAGCGTGCTGTTGCCTGGTGTATTTGTTAGTACCTGGTCTGTTATGTATGGTATATCCCACGTCCAGTGGAAATGAACTGGAGAAAGGGTTGGGTGGAGGGAACATACAACCGAAGGCCGATAATCCGAAAACGACCACGCAATCGCCCACCGTCTCGTCTTAGACCCCTGCACGAACTCCGTAACCGCGTAGTTGTGGATTCCGTACGAGGCGAGCTTCTCCACGAGGACGGAGACGCTGCTCAGCTTGCCGACCATGGACGTGTACCAGGTGACGGCGCTGCGGAGGCGTAGACTTTCGTCGATCATGCGCGACACGAAGGAGACTTCGCCTCCTGGGGTGACCATCTCTATTTCGGAGCCTGTGCATGCCTATGGAAGGGGTTGGCCTTAGCGAGTTTCTTGAGTAGAGGTGGGGGTTATTGGAGGGATACGTACGGAGAAGGGAGGTCGTTCTTTTTCTTGGGCGGATGTGATCATCTCGTTGCGGGAGGCGTAGAAGGGAGGATTGCACATTGTGAAATCCAATCTGGTATTGTTAGATCGAGTGTGCGGTGGTGAGGTGGTCGGCTTACTTTTCCACTCCTAGTTTGTCCAGCGGGATGAGGTCGTCGTCGGGGTTAGTCTCGACAACCTGGATGCGCGATTCGAGTCCATTGGCTGATACATTCTTCCGTGACGTCTGGATGGTATTGTCGTCGATGTCTACTTTGTTAGCCTCGAGCGTGTCGGAGGAGTGATCGCCCGTACCTGTTGCTACGAATTTCCACAGTGGTCGTGTCGCGCAGCCCAGTAATGGGTATATGCAGCAACCTCCCGTTCCTCTGCGCTTGTGAGTCCATGCGACTAGGTAGCTGGAGCGGGCAGCCTACATGTCCAGCCCTTGGACTACTCTATCCGGGTCGTATTCATCACGGTATTCACGTCCCGTTGTGTCTAGCAGGTCCTGCACCCAGAGGATATAATTTAACCTGGAGCCGTGTCAGACCAGCGACTCACAACCCAAATGCTACCCACCTATTTGGAACCTAGTCTAGTTAGCCTCCTATGGCCTGTCATGTTGTAGGAGTGGCACCCACCGGTGGACAGAGTCGATCGTCCGGGATCTCGACATCCAGATTGAAATCGCGTTTCAAGAGACTCTTGGTCAATTGTCTATCTGGTCAGCCCAGCCCACTCCACAGTCAGGGCCAGCCTACCGAACCGCGTTCGGGTCGCTAAAGTCCAGTTGACCGTTGGATTTCAAACTGTCCACCGTCAGCCCACCCGTGTAGTGCCCATTCCACTCCATTCATGTATCATACTATTTCGCAAACCCGGGCGACTGCAGCGCCAATTCCGCAAAATCCACGTCATCTCTATAGATATTCCGAGCGGCTCGCATTGTGGTGGCTTAAATCCCTGTCGGAACTCTCCAGAAAAAAAAAATCCGGAAATAGGCAGCGGAGATGAGGATGGAGACCGTGGATTACCAGTGTGGGGCTCACCCAGCAACTCACACACGACCTCTGGTTGTTGACCCGATCGGAATCGCCACGGGAATCGGGTCCAGGGAGTGTATTTTTAGATGGATTTTGTGGAGAGAAAATCATCAATAACCAAGGGAAAAAAGGACATGGAGAGGAAGAATGTTCAGGGGGGTAAAGGAATGACATCACGGATAATCCATCCCCCTCTTTCGCGTCTTTTGCAGATCTGATCAGTTAGCAGTTTTTTCCTCTATTTAGTTTTTTTTTCTCTTTTCTACCCGTCTCTTCCCTCATTGTTACCTGTGTGGATCTTCATTTTTTGGTTACCCTTTTTGTTCCTTTTTTGGTTATCCTTCCCCAGAGATTATTCTTCCCAATTAACCAATAAATTCGTGGAGGGACAATATGGAGGGTCTCAGGGAAAGCTTCAAAGGTCAATTCTGCCTCCAAAAACACCCCCCTGTCACACAAATGCAGCCCACTCACCCCGCATGGTTCGCGTAGACTCCAGTCTGAAAGACGTTAGAGAAACCGCCCATCATGTGAAACACAAGGTCGGAAAATTCTTCAACATCCTCAATCCCAATCATCGCCACGATGAAGAGCACGAGCAGGAGTGCGACAAGAAGCGCACTGCCATCGCCGAGTCCCATCGCTTCAATTCCTTTGCCCCCATCCGCGACAACAACAAGGTCAAGTGGTATGTCGATGCGCTGGACTACATGTGGGCGGTCTCGATCGCGCTCGAGAAGGCTGAAAAGGTCATCTATATCGAGGATTGGTGGTTGTCGCCGGAACTGTTCCTGCGTCGGCCCCCGTACATGGCCCAGGAATGGCGGTTGGATCAGGTCCTCAAGCGCCGCGCTGAAGCGGGGGTGAAGATCTACGTGATCGTTTACAAGGAGGTCGGTTTCTCAGCATGGTTGAACCTTTTTCATGCTGATTTGTATAGGTCAACCAAGCTCTCACGTGCAATTCCGCCCATACCAAGCATGCGCTGCGCAACCTCTGTCCCGAGGGAACCCCGGGGTATGGAAACATCAAGGTTCTCCGCCATCCGGACCACAACATCTTCGAGAATGCGGCCGATGTGGTCTTCTACTGGGTCAGTCTGATGATACATACCGACGGTTCAAAGCTAACAGCCACAGGCTCATCACGAGAAATTCATCGTGATTGACCACTCGCTGGCGTTTATCGGAGGCATTGACCTGTGCTTCGGCAGATGGGACGCCAACCAGCACCCCTTGGCCGACGTGCATCCGTCCAACATGAAGGACGAGGTCTTCCCCGGGCAGGAATTCAACAACAACCGCATCATGGACTTCCAGAGCGTGGGAGACTGGCAGGCCAACGAGCTGAGCAAGGCCGACTACGGCCGTATGCCCTGGCACGACGTGGCCATGGGTTTGATCGGAGACAGCGTCTACGATATCGCCGAGCATTTCGTTCTGCGGTGGAACTTCATCAAACGCGACAAATACAAGCGCGACCCTTCCGTCGACTGGCTGACCCTGGAGGGCCGTTTGGATGAGGATGAGGACCTGGTCGGTGTCCAGCGCCCCAAGTACCCCTGCGGCGATTACGTGCAGCACCCCATCGATGGCCTGGAGTCGACGGTTCGGGGCAACCAGGGTACCTGCAAGACGCAGATCATCCGCAGCAGTGCCGATTGGAGCAGTGGCATTCTGGTGGAGCATAGTATCCAGAACGCCTACAAGGATATCATCAGCAAGGCTCAGCACTTGGTCTACATTGAGAACCAGTTTTTCAGTATGTACCGACATTCGTGCTGTCCAAAATTAAAAACTTCAGCTAACGCAGTGCAGTCACCGCTACCGGCGATCAACAGGCACCGATCTTGAACACCATCGGCCGCTCCATTGTGGATGCGTGCGTCCGGGCCGGCAAGGAAGGACGCAAATTCCGCGTCGTCATTGTCATTCCCGCAATCCCTGGGTTCGCCGGTGATCTGAGAAAGAACCAAGCGACGGGTACTCGTGCGATCATGGACTACCAGTACAAGTCGATTCACCGCGGCGAACACTCGATCTTCGGCCAGATTTCCGCCCAGGGAGTTGATCCCAAGGGTAAGTCGTTCGTTTCGTCTACTATATAGAGAGGCTAACGCAGACAGAACACATCTTCATCTTCAACCTGCGGGCATACGACCGCATCAACAAGACTCCTGCCCTGGAGGAGCTCGAGACCGAGGCCGGCGTCAACTACAACGACATCCAGCGTGGTATCGCCGAGTCTATCATGAGCGAAGCCGTTCACCCCGCCGTCGACAAGGAGGGCGACGAGACCGAGGTCGGCTACGACGGTGCGGAGAAGGAGCGCCAGGAGCGCCTGGACAAGCTGCGCAAGTACGAGGAGCAGTGCGAGCGTCACCAGAACCTCTACAGCGGCAAGAGCAAGGATACCGTGGCCCACACGACGATGCTCAACGAGGGCAAGATGTCCGACGAGATCTGGGAGGGCGACCCGGAGAACGAGAAGAACAACTTCGTCCAGGAAGAGCTGTACGTGCACGGCAAGGTGTGTATCGTGGATGACCGGATTGCCATCTGCGGTAGCGCAAACATCAACGATCGAGTGAGTTTCCCTCTCCCTCCCTCCATTTCCCAAACCCCCACCCTAACGCCACCACAGTCCCAAGTCGGCTTCCACGACAGCGAGCTCGCCATCGTCGTCGAAGACCAAGACTTCATCGACAGCGAAATGGACGGCCGACCCTACCAAGCCGGCCGTCTGGCCGCCACCCTCCGCCGCCAGCTCTGGCGCGAACACCTCGGCCTCCTGCCATCCCAGAACTACGACGCCTCGGAGCACCCCAACGCGCAGCCGCCGAACGTCTGCATGAACCACGTTCTGCGCGACGCGGAGAACGAATTTGTCGCCGACCCGCTCAGCGACGGCGTGTGGCAGATGTGGACGGAGCGCGCGACGGTCAACACCGAGACGTACCGGACGCTGTTCCACGCGGACCCAGACGACAACATCCTCACCTTCGAGGACTACGACGCCTTCTCCCCGCACAACAGCAACAAGCAGGGCCACCTCTTCGACCCCTTCCAGCCTGCTCAGGATGTGCGCGAGAAGCTGGACAAGATCAAGGGCCATCTTGTCTGGATGCCGTTGGATTTCCTTAAGGATGCGGAGATGGCGGAGCCTGGGTTGCAGGTGAACCAGCTTACGGAGGTATGTTTGCCCTGATTGATTGTGTGGATGAGATGGAGTGCTAACTTGAGCAGAGTATCTACACTTGATTTATCTACATTTGTTTTGGTTATTTTATTCTCGTGTCGACCGGACGTTGGATGTTGAATACCCGATTGATAGGTGAGAGCTATGTATGTAGACTTGGTTGCTGTTTGTTTTCCCTTGGGGGATATTCGATAGATATGGATATGATATGATTGGATAGGATGAGAGGTATGATACGATATGGCTCATGTTGACGTTTTAGTCGTTTATATGATGATGTAGAATACGACGTTATATTAGCTACGATTTGCACCATACAAACAACCTGTCATGTACTCTTAGTATATAGCTTCTAGAATCATAGGGAGAGATAACTACAGACGGCCTCCAGACTCCTCCCACTTCCTTCCCCGGTACTATACTTCCCATGCTACCTACATATATAACATCCTTATACTGCATATATGTATCTCGATCGCACAATTCTGATATAGACAGACACAGACTAATCCAAGGGATTGAGTACCACCTCCACCAAGATTGTCCCCGATCAACTCGGCTCCCGACCAACCATTCCTGGCCCCCACACGGGGCAGCTCCCTGATAGAAAGCTAGCTCTACCTGTGTCATATCCCGGAGATCTAGATTGACTGAGCTCATCCTGATCACCACGCTGACGCTGACGCCCACCAACACCAAGCCATCAGCTAGCCCCGCCCACTTGCGCCGAACAGGCCAAAGTGGCTGCTTTTCTGGTCTGTGCTGGGCTTCATCTGCGCCAGTAGGGAAATGTAGTCGAGCTTAAGCTATGCTCTGCATGGCTGCAGCATCGACGAACATAACCAGACACGGAGCCGCTCACCCCTTTAACAAGCATGATACAATCTTGTACATCTTGTCTCTCCCCCCAAGTGACCAGTCCTAACCCTGATTTCTCTCCCATTACCATGGCCCTTGGCCCACATATGACAACGTAGCCCATCCTTAGTGTCGTGTATCAGCGAAACCCAGTATAGACTGACGTAACTAGTCTTCAGGGCTTGAGGCCTCGGCGCACATAGTAGCGTAGGCTATTAGGAAAGCATATGGTGGTGCCCATGCACGAGAGGAAGGCCAAAAACTAAGCACCACTGAGGCACATAACGGGAGGATAATAGATACCATTGCAGCAGGGCCAGACGAAGTTGCATTCGGCACTCACGGCCATGTTGACTATACTAAATTCCTAAAACCAGAGGCGAAGTTGTTTGTTGGATAGCGAGAGATCGGACTAGTTAAAAAAAAAAAAAAAGAAATACAACAGGCACATCACTCCCCCTTTCTGGCGATGATATAAAAGAACCTGGCGTCATCTGTGTCCATAGACCCTGGGGGCACAAATATCTCCATCCAGCTCTCGACGACCTCAAGGTTATTGCGCTGAAGAAGATCTGTCCATCCGCGGCGGGTGAACATGGTGTGACGGAACTCGTTGCCCATGAATCGTTGCCTGACAGCTCGAGCACAGAGGCCGTCCGGGTCATATCCGTTCTCGATCCTGTCCTGGGGACAGTCGTCTGCGGCCATGGTGGCAATGCACAGAAGGCCATTCGGGTTAAGCCACCCGGCCCACTTGTTAACCAATGACTCAGTTTCTTCCCTTCGGAGACGAAACGAGGCAAAGACGTTGAATATCGCGTCTGGCCGTGCCGTCGTTGGGTGCTCGTAATGGCGCATATCAGCGACGAGAAACTTGCCCTTGGGGACATTCTTTTGACTCATCGTGACCATCTCCGGGGAGAAGTCGACACCTACGACTTTGTGGCCCGATGATGCCAAGGTGGAAGAGACTGGATTTCCGGTGCCACAGCCAATGTCGAGGATATTCGCAGACGTGGGGAGGCGGGAGTTGATCTTCTCGATCAGCCGCAAAAGCCCTGGATTGTGTGCGAAGCCGCTGTCGTAAGAATCGACGATTGAATCGTAGAGCTGCGCGTATTCAACATCCTCCATTTTTCCGTCGGTATGCGTTCTCGCTGTCCTTGACTCTTCGAGGCGTGATGGTGGTCAAATCTCAATCCCTCCTATCTTGGAGGAAATCGTCGGGTCAAAAGTTCATTGGGACTGCTGAGGTTGGGGGTGAGAAAAGGGCTACACCGCATGCAAGGGAGCAAGTGATACAGCACAAGGTTACGTGGCAGGATGTCGACACCGACGCAAGGGAGTCCAATCCAGGTCTCACGTCACCACAGCCTTGCAGTGTCAAGGGAGAACTCAAAGGAGCCAGTACTTTTCCAGAAGATGGCCAAATCCCCCCCCCGCTGGACAACAATGTGGTGTCCATGGGCAGTTGAGCCATCTTCACTGTGCAAGCGTTCGTGACCGTGATCCTCCATGGTGATGTGGATTTTGATTCTTATCTGGGCGGCACTGTCTCTGACAGTTCGCACAATCTATCGGCTGTATTTCCACCCTCTGGCAGGTATTCCAGGGCCGAAATTGACGGCTGCTACTCACCTGGTCGAATTTTATCACAATGTAGTCCGACGAGGGATGTTTATTTGGGAAATCGAAAAGATGCACAAGCAATATGGTGAGATACAAGTTCCGGATTCAAATGGCATGGAAGCCCTGTTGATGTCCATCGATTTTGTGCGTAGGCCCGATTGTGCGCATCAATCCCCGCGAAATACATATCAACGATGCTCATTATTACGACGAGGTCTACGCATCTGGGGCCCGGGTGCGGGATAAGGATCCGATGGCCACCGCGATGTATTCTGCGCCAGGAGCCATCGTGGCCACGGTTGGACATGTCCAGCACCGGGCTCGGCGCCGCGTGATGAATCCGTTTTTTTCCAAGGCGGCAGTGACAAATCTCGAGCCCATGATCCAGGAGAAAATCACCCAACTAATCAAGCGTCTGGAGAAGTCCTACCGCGAGCAGACAGTCGTCGAATTACATACAGTATTCCAGGGTTTCACGGCAGACGTGGCCACACACCACTTCTATGGCAGCAGTTATGACTTCCTGGAGGACGATGAGTTCAGTAGAGCGATACAGGAAGGCATCGAGGCAGTGACTGGCACGGCACCGATCAACAAGCTCTTTCCCATGCTCGGGACAGTCCTTGGGTTACTTCCCCCACGCATTCTGACCACCTTACGACCAGCTACCGCAGGGATCTTTCGTTTACAAGAGATGTATATCCAGAAGTCACTGAAGGCCCTCGCGGATAGTCGTCGCCCGGGCTTTGCCAGCTCCTACACCCGGACCAACCCATTTGAAGCTTTGTTCGACCCCGCAATCCACCCGGAGGAAAAGTCGCTTGACCGTCTGCTCGACCAACAGATGGGGTTGCTCGGAGCCGGCTCCGAGTCCACGACAAATACATTGACGGTTGCCTTTTTCCATCTGCTACAGAACAAATTGATCTTTTGGAAGTTGCGCCGAGAGCTCTGTGAGATCATGCCAAACCCACGCAGTCCGGTGCAGTGGTCTAAACTGGAAAAGCTTCCATACTTGGTGAGTGTGCACGACGCTGTATCGCCCCAAACACGTCCTCGCTGATGGCTGACGCTCCCACTTTTCCCAGTCGGGCGTTGTAAATGAGGCGCTTCGGCTCTCCTTTGCGGGAGCCAGTCGCTTCCCACGTGTGGCGCCGGAAGGGGCCTTGACGTACAGATCGTACACGATCCCCGCGGGGGTGGGTTGACTCTGCTGTATCACCACTCACTGCAAATGCTGACCAAACGTGGAATGGTTCGCGCAGACCCCTGTCAGCATCTCGAGCTACTTTGTGCACATGGATCCTCAGATTTTCCCTGAGCCGGAGAGCTTCGATCCCGAGCGGTGGGTTCGGGCCGCCGAGCGTGGGGAGAGACTGTCCAAATTTATTGCGTCGTTTACTAAGGGCACCAGAGTTTGCCTAGGCATCAAGTGAGATTCAGCACTGCATATCCTGGCGTTTCCCGCCCACCCCAAATATAGACTAACGGGCGAGTAGCTTGGCATATGCCGAAATCTACACGGTCATTGCAGCTGTGGTTCGTAACTTCGAGCTGGTGCTGCATGAAACCACCGCGGAAGATGTTCGTTTCGTTCGAGATCTGTTAGCTCCTCGCCCCAGAGTGGGTGGATGGAGGGTAAAAGCCAGAGTGATTGGTGTTGAGAGCGAGTGATCAACATGATCCATTGTGGGCCGGTGGATGAACTGGGCGGTGATCAGATCCCTGTTCTTTTTCTGTTTCTTTTTCTGTTTCTTTTTCTGTTTCTTTTTCTGTTTCTTTTTCTGTTTCTTTTTCTGTTTCTTTTTCTGTTTCTTTTCTTTGATGTTTAAAGGTTTGGGGATAGCTTCTTTAGGTAGCATCACGAATATTGTATTGAATTTGCTTCATATTCATGTTATCTACTGTTCAGCGAACTGTGTAGCGATTTGCTGAGAGATAATGACTTCCTAAAGCAAGGCAGCCACATTGGTAAATTTCCAGCCATCTAAGATTATCCCAAAGAAGATTGAAATTCCCTTTATCATTATCTAAGCATATTCTGGTGATATCGGTCAGGCATACCATCAGCCCGAGATACCGCTAAGGTGTTTGATGTTTGTGATCCCATTCCAGCCCAGGCAGATATGCATCAGAAAATGACCAAGAGAGAGATAAAGCTTGTTTTCCATGGCTGAAAAGTCGAGGCTTGTTTAGAGAGAGACTCCAGTCGATGGACTCCACAGCTACCCCCTCCGAGAGAACACTCACATTGTTGAGCCTGGCTTCTGAAGGGACGAGGGCGTGGCGAGAGGCTTGGGATTTTCGTTGCCAAGGGAAGCCATGCAGGCGATTTCGTCGGGTGTGCGATGGGGAAAGGCGACACCAATATTCCAAGGGAAGATAAGGTGAACCCAGCGATGCATGCGACACACATAAGAGAACAAAATGCCCGTTAGCTCTCGATAGTCATCCTTGGTGACCAATGTGTCGAGCGACTGGGAGTAGATGGTGCCGACTTCCCGCATGGTGGACAGGCCGAGATCGGTGAGCATTTCGAATGTATTGAAATTCCGCTCGAGGAATTCGCGTGTCATGCGCACCAGCAGAGGGAGGCCGACATCCGCGTACTGCGAGATCTTGAGCAGGCGGTAGAGAACGTCGCACCCCAGGTGAAGGAGGAAGGACTTCAGGTGGACCATAACGGAAAAATACTGCTCGCCACTTCCCGCGCCACTGTCGATGATGCCCCAACTGATCCGGCTGATTTCCGCGGGCTTCTCGATCCACACTCGGTCTAATTCATTCTCAATGAATTCCTTGGCGCCGCGCCAGTTGCATTCATGGCAAAGCGCCCGCGTCGCGCGCAGATTGTATTGATCTTGGGTAGGGTTCTGATCGTCTGATAGGGAGATGTTGACAGATAACAGCGTGTGCCGGGCCGGTGTCACCGTCTTTTCGTACACCAGCTGCCCCAGACGACAGAGGATGGGAATGTCCTCTTCGAGGACTTCGGCCACCTTGTTCACAGGGGCACTCTCCGTGATAGTTCCGTAGGTCAGGCATAGGGATCCACCCACAGCGTTGAGGTAGACCGCTCCCGCGTGACGTTGGACCATGTTGCTTTTCCCCAAATGAACGATCCTCGTAGGCAGCCAGATCGCCTGGCCAGAAATTACGACATGTCCTAGCGTGCTCCGCAATGGCAGTTGGGCCAACACTTGCTGGGCTACATCTGGGTTCTCTGCAGTCAACAATCTGGCCTGAAAAGACAGGCCGAGCTCGGGGGCTTGAAATTGTAGCAGAATCTTGGATGTAGACATTGGGATAATAAAAGGTCAATCGTGGGGATCACGCCGGTGTGTACAGGAGGAGGATTTTTGAACGGTGTCTGGGAAATTCAAATTGGATCCCATTGTCGTCCTTTATTTATATTTCATCCTGCATCCTGCTAAATGGGAAACACAAGTGCGTAGACCTCCATTACCGAGGCACCATGCGGACTTGATCACTCGTAGAATCGCAATATAGGAATCTCCTTGCATTGCGGCCTCGAAATAAAGCCAGAGGACCATTAGACCGCACAGGAGTAGATAGATAAAGTCCCGAGAAGATACGAGGAATCGAAAAACGGATAGGTCCATCGGCAAGAATGTGAGGGAGAGGTCGAATCGGATATGCCGCTATTCCAGCTGCACATTCTCGATTTAGTCATGGCCTCCCTGCATCCTCCCTACGGTCCGTACACGGACGTAACCCTAACATTGGATGTGCTGTCTCATGTAAACTCCAAGTTGAATCAAAGCAAGGCTCCACCCCTTACCGCGGCGAGCTTGGCTTTGTCGGGGTCTCAGGGCGTCGTGAGACAGCGTGGTGTCCTCGAGACTCATATACCGTACCAAGTTCACGTACAATCTCGACACTACTCCGTTCACCATATAATCAATATGCGCATAGAAAGAGTTTTGCTCAATTGGTCGTGTCTGTCCATTTCGGTTATATGGGCGATCATTCTCCAAAACGGCCAGCTTAGACTCAATGCATATCCTGGACAGGCACCATTGATCCCACACGCAGCAGGGAATTCGTTGTGGAGGCACTATGCGCCCTCTGCGCCCGAGATCTCGTACCAGGGCCGATGGGATAACCAATACATATCTTGTAAGGGCCAACCAACCCCACTGCCAGATGAAATCAAGGCGCGCGAGCACACGCTAACATAGGTCTGGAACCCAATCAGGGTGGTCGTAAGTACTTTCCTCCTGAAAGCCAAAGAGCATAGCCAACATCTCACGCAGAGCACCGGGATTACGTTTGGAATTTACTGGGCATCAGGTTCGGGAGTTATCAGTTCCCTGGATATGGCATCGAGCCATCGTGACAAAACTGACTCTCTAAGCATAGCTGGCACTTAGCTTTGGTCAGCATACTGACCCCGGGGTCCTAATCGCTTACCGGTATGCGCTCTGCTCTGACAGTGTCTGAACGACTGGTTGACGCTGCACGCTTTTCTCACAGGCTGGGACGGTTGGACTGGCAATTCTCCAATGTGACAGGTAATTCAACATACCAATTCATCGGGCCGTGGACGCCAGGGATCAACGGATCTATCGCATCGGAAAAGAAATCCTTCGAACTCAGGGGCGAGTAAACCCCTTCTCGTTTTCGGCGCAGCTCGCTGACCTTTCCATCGCCCTTTAGTCACCAATTGGGCTTACGGATAAGTTGCACTATTCTTGCCACACCGTCTATTGTCAGATACCTTCTGACAGGTCATGCACAGTCCAAATATCAGGGGTAGCAGTGGCTGCGGATGGAAAGCTTTCCCAGATTCAGAGAGCCTCCAAAACCGTTGAAGTGATCGGCGACTCGTAAGTGTCTTGAGGCCACCCCTGTCAATTGCCGAAGAGGCATACGGACTGACAGCGAAACGAGCAGGCTTAGCATCGGGCAATATGCAACCTACGAGGGCCTTTCATCATGGGCCTACGCCGTGGGCGCCGGTCTACAGGACGTCGAATATTCAATTACTGTGAGATGGTCGCGAACAACGCGTGGATCACGAAGCTCACTCCTCCTCGCAGGCGTATTCCGGGATCTGTGTCCACGATCGAGAGTGCTGGGGGAATCATCACGGTCAGGTTTGTCACCTCACCAAAGGCCGCGAATTCTGAGAGGTTCATCTGACTCGAAACCCGCGCGTGGGGTGTACCAGGTATATCAATGGTATCGTACGTGTGATTCCTCGCCGCGCGCTCGACGCATCTACGGAGCGAATCCGCCAAGATGGGACTTCGGAGCGCATGCAGCAGCCGACCTGGTTATTATCAACCTGGGCGCAAATGATGATCTGAACGGGGTTTCGAGCACGGATCTGGTGTCCAGTTACATCACTCTTATCGATGGCGTCCATTCCGTTTGGCCGGACGCACACATCGTTATCATGGTTCGTGAGACCTGCTCTACTTGACATGCGGCGCGACAGATGTTTTTGATACAGCTGGCTAACCTGGAGACTGGATGCACGTAGTCCTTGTGGGGAGACTTTGTTCAGAGAGGCCTCACATTTGTGCAGGCTCCGCAGGGTGTGCGGGAAATCACAACGGTCTACCAGCACTACCGGGATCAAGGAAAGGGATATGTGCATTTTTTCGAAACCAGCGGGATATTCAAACACGGTGACATTGCGCAGGACGGTCACCTCAATGATATGGGCAATGCCAAGCTGGCCAGTCACCTGATGCAGTGGATCAGCAGTCAGTTTGGATGGACAATGGATACGGACGGGGCTGAAATACTGCATGGGACGCAATATTGGAACACAGAGGGAAACTATTGAGGTGCTAGAGTGTGCGCAGTATTGTTGAGATGCCGAGCAGGCCTAAGTGTATGATAGAAAGGTAGGAGAAAAGCTGGATTCTCACGGGGTACCTCGCGCCTCCACAGGAAAGATCCTTACTCCTCTTCTTTCAAGATATAGATCGTGACAAAGAAATTCATCAAATCCATCCATTTGAGGACACTTTTCCATCGGCGACTCATCAATGTATCAATGACTACAGATCGATTCGATAGCTGGAGAATCCTGTCTATACTTGGCCCTAAATGCTAATGGACGTCTAATCGGTCCGTGAGGGCCAACACTCATCACGAAGCATGCGCGGCTCGCACCGCTACACTGGCTCCCCACATCACAAAAATCAATGGTGGAATACATAACAGGCTGAGAAGACCGGGGACGACGGTGAATGCCCATCCTCGGCCACTAGCCTCGATCAACGGCCCGATGGCGGCGCTGATCCCGGCCCCCATAAGACACCGCACCATATTCGTCATGGCAGTCGCCGTAGCCGGACGGTCGATACATAGATCGGTGGTAAGAACATTGAGGCAGTTGATCATCGCCCCCCCGGTATATCCTAAGAGGAACAGGAAGACCAATGGACACGCAATCGGGACCGAATAATGGAGCATCCACCCGTAGGCCACGGCCGACAGACATTGCGCCACAGCCAACGGAGGCACCATTTGGGCGCGCGCCCTTGCTAACGTAGGGCGGTCCAGCGCGCAGCGTTCGTTGCCGTTCGAACAGCGACGGACATGCCGACGATAATTGAAATCGGTCAGTCGGCCCTGCACATACGAGGCCACAATCCCACCAATTCCAAATGGCAGGAAGCATAGTCCAATATGCAAGTCGCTCAGCGCATAGACCTCCTTGAACTGGGAGGGCTGGCTCGTGGTGATGGCCACCGAGCCGCAGAAGTTGATCCCATTGGCCATAACGACCAGAAAGACAGCCCTGTCCCGAAGGGCTAGCAGAGCGGCGAAGGGATTCCACCGGGATAAGCCTCGACCGCTATTTGGGATGAGGGGCGGTGCTGTGCTCCCATGGCGCCGGGTGTTTGTCAAATCGAGAAGGCACAGGCTGGAGCGCGGAGGCCGTCGAGAACCATTGCCAACAAGGGGTCTGGATGTTTCTGGTAGGAACAGAAGCAGGACAAGGAAGAAAGTGGCGGAGCAGATAGTCAGAAACCAAAAAATCCATCTCCAGCCCAGATAATTGGTCAGAATGCCGCCGAGGACAGGACTTAGCGTTTGACCTGCCAGGAAGCCAGCGAATGCACATCCCATGGTCACCCCTCGCTCCGTGGCGGTTGTAATGTCGGTAATCACAGCTGTGGCTAGCGCAATGGTATTGCTTACCCCGGCGCTTTGCATTGCTCGGAGGGTTAGGAATGCCGCATAATGGTTCTGCAAGGCTAGTCCGATGTTGGATGCGATGTAAATGATGAAGCACATGATGTACATAGGTCGTCGCCCGGATCGATCGGTGAGGGGGCCCAGAAGGGCTGGTGATATGCCCTGGAAGATCTACGCGGAATGTATATTTGTCATTAATAGATGAGGGGGGATTGATAGGTATACATCACTCACCAGGTATGTCGTCATGGACAGATTGATCAGAACGATGGGCTGGTGGAGATCCTTGGCGAGTGCGTGGAAAGCTGGAAGATACATAGTCGTGGCCAACGGTGAGAAGCATCCCGCAATGGACACGGCTAGAACAATTAGATGCTTAGCGGTGCTCCCGTGTATGGAGTACGGTTCAGGTGAGCCATGGGCCTGTGGGATCTCATCTGCATCGGCTTTGGCATCGTCTTGCATTGGTGCCAAATCTGCAGCCGTCTTTCCATGCTCGGCCATGATGGAGAAGTTATTGCGACCCTAACTAGGAACAAGAACCAGCCTCACATTCTCACCCAGGCTACAAATAGACGGTCAGAAAGGTTTTTCACACCGTCCATGGCATCACATCTGTCATCCCTTGCAGTTGGAGGCGACGTCAGCATTGCATAACCAAAGACAGCCAGGAATCTTATGACCCCTCGCATCACGAGCCGAGTTTAAGTTAGGTCCATGCACGTCGTCGGTGAGTTGAGTGGGTCTAGGCCGTTCTCTGCGATGCAGCCCATCATTCGGTGAGAGCGCAAGGTGCGCAAGGGCGCTGTGGAACAAAAGAAGGGGGAGATTGTGGTTCAGGATCCACGCGACACCCCTGATCAGGAACTGATCCTGGAGAAAGAAGAAAAGAACAGAAACGGAAAAGAAGGAAAGACTCGGCGGAATCCTACAAGAGACTCAAGTTCATCACGCGTGGAATCAAGCTTGTCCAGCGTTTGTTTGGCGGTTCCTACTGCTCCCATCATCAACATGACAAAATCGACGCCCTGGACGCGTTCATCCCGTCCCCGCATCGAACGTCTGACAAGAAGAATGCTGGATGATAACATCAGTGCAATTGTCTGCATGAGCCCTGAAGGCACATTCTATCTCTCAGGATTCAATCCCATCATCTATTCCCATCCGGTCATTGTTATCGCGACTCCCGGCCATGAACCCATCTTGCTCGTGTTTGCCCTGCGGGGAAAACACGCCTGTGAAAGTACCTGGACGCCCGACGTCCGTTTGTACGGAACATGGGCGGGGATCAAGACATTGGCTCCGACGTGGCAGCAGGCATTGGCGATGATCATAGAGGATCTCGGAGTAGCCGGGAAGCGGATTGGGGTTGAGGAAGGGTGGCTTTCCGTGGCGCAATACCGGGAGGTAGCCGGTGCACTTCCCCATGCTCACCTAGTCGACGCCAGCGCCAGCGTTTCTCTCTGCCGTCAGATCAAGGACCCCGACGAGATTGGAAACGCTCGCATTGCTGCCCGAATCGCCGATGTTGGAATGGCAGCGGCCGTGGAAGCATTGGGTCAACGCGGTCTCACGGAGCGCCAGGTGGTCATTGCAGCCATGAGCGCCATGAACCAGGACTGGGCCTGCAACTATCCCGAGGTGGAAGCCTGCGATTTTGGCTCTCTGGAAGGAGGTAATCACAATGGCTTGGCCGTCTGGGTGTTGTCAGGCCCGCGCAAATCGTACGCCTGCGACAACCCGACGCAACGAATACCGCAAGAGGGGGAAACTGTGTCTGTTTTCATCTGGACGGTCGCCAACGGAATCCATGCCGAGCTGGAAAGAACCGTGTGTATTGGATCGGTTGCTCCGGCAGAGAAAGAGGCGATCAATGCGATCCTTAACATCCGCGCTGAAGTGGCGGACCTCCTTCACCCGGGGATTCCAATTCGAGCTCTCTATGAAGTTGCGAAAAAAGGCTTTGAGAAGCGAGGGTACGGTGCATGCCTTCCCGGCCGAATCGGACACGCCATAGGCCTGGGAGCCCACGAGAGCACTTCGATCAATGGCAGCTCGGATATGACCTTGGCCGCCGGCATGATTGTCACCTTGGAGCCGCACATCCACATCTCTGATGTATGTGGTACCCAATTTTCTGATACCATCTTGATCACTGAAGCGGGGCCCGAATACCTGACGCATTTTGACGGGGGTTACCTGGAGGTATGATTCAGGCTATGTCTACAGTGCTAGTGGATCAAATGCAGAGTTCTTTCAATAGTCGCGCTGAAGTGGGCCTTGATTATGTAGTTGGCAGCACATTCCATGCCCCGAAGCTCGGTAGATAGAGCAGAGTAATAGAGTTTGGAATGTGTTTTAGCTCTTCATCCATCTGGTCCCAACATCCCTCCCAATTGATCGAAGTCTCCACTAATTGTGGGTTCCTAACAGCCCCTTGATTCTGGAGAGGCTGCTCTAGTGCTTTCTTTATGCATTGTTGGGACGCGCGGGGTTGCGTATCTCGAGGCGGCATTGTATGTCGAAGCTGCCGCTGTTTGTTCAGGACTAGCGCCTCACTGGGTAGGAGTCATAGTCCCCTCCTCTCCGTGCGTCGAGATTGCTTCATGTCCCTCCAGAGAGAATCGAATAGACTCATCATATTCAGCCGCTTTAGAGCCATCTTCCATCGGCGCCTCGACATCATATATAGGACCTGGTGTGTTGCAGACATCTACGATTACGAAAGGGATCGGACCTTCTCGTCATGGGAAATACATCTAGTATCCACGCCGGAAGAGAATGTCTGGTCTCCGCCGTGGGTGGCGATATAGGCCGTGTCGCCTTCTGTGATGTGCCTCACTACGACATCTCCCACGTCCATCCTCGCAACCTGGAGTTTCCCGTGACTCCAGTAGCGGTGACGTATCCAGATTCATCGGATCAGATTGCTTCTATTGTCAAATGTGCGGCAGCACATGGCCGGAAAGTTCAGCCTCGCTCTGGTGGGCACAGTCTGGGCAATTACGGCCTGGGAGGGAGGGATGGGGCCATTGTGGTGGACATGCAGCATTTCCAACAATTCACCCTGGACCAGTATACCAACCAAGCGACCGTTGGTCCGGCTATTTCGGTGCAAGACCTGGCTCACAAGCTGTGGGCGGCAGGAGCGCGAGCCATGACTCACGGGACCTGTCGCACAGTTGGAGCTGGAGGGCATCTGACAATTGGTGGAATTGGCCCTACGGCCCGACAGTGGGGATTGGCTTTGGATCACATCGATGAAATCGAGGCAGTTCTGGGAAATGGGCAAATCATCCGGGCATCATCTCACCAACATTCTGACCTCTTCTTTGCCATCCGGGGAGCCGCGCCGAATATTGCTATTGTCACCGAGTTCATCGTGCGGACCCAGCCCGCGCCGCGCACAGCGATCCAGTTCCGTTACATGATGGAGACGAATCAAGGGTCTATTGAGGGACAGGCCATAGCATTTGGACGCTGGCAGGCATTCATCGCAGACCCCAGGCTGTCGCAGAACCTGGATATTACCCTCACCATCAAGGGACCGGGTCTACTGGAGCTGTCCGGGGTATTCTTTGGCACCCGAGAGGAATATGAGACCCTTGGCCTAGAGCAGAAACTTCCCCTTCACAGTAGTCACACACAGTCTCTTTCAGGGTGGGGAACCATTCTTAATTCAATCCTACACGACGTCAATTCGCGATTCTCGTACGACAAAACGCTGGGAGTCACCTCGAAGCATCTCATCCCCAACTGGGCTATGATAAGATTAGCGAAGTATTTATCCACGGCTCGTCCGGGAATCACCGACTGGTCCTTATCGTGTCGGCTGGTTGGTGGTGCAGTCAATGAACCCTGGATGAATGCAACAGCTTTCCCACACCGTGACGTTCTCTACTGGATCACCTTCCATGCACGCAGTCCAAGTCAACCGTTGCCACCGGCCGCCTTTGAATTCCTCGACCGAGCATATGATATAGTTAACAATTCACTGCCGGGACGTCCACCCATGTATCTGGGGGATCTCGATCCACGGGCTCCTGACTCCCGGATCATGTATTGGCGGTCAAATCTCCCGCGGCTTGAAGAGGTCAAGGCCAGGGCGGATCCTGCAGGAATCCTGGATAATCCGCAAGGGGTGTGAAGAGTAAGGGATAAATATTTGACTTGAACCGTCGACAGTCAGCACGGCATGTGGTCATATAGGATTCCCAGTTGTGGAATCGGATATATCAGATGTTGCTCCATTGATATTTTCCCATACCTCAAGTAGTGTGCTCTTACTATTGTTTCGCTTAAGTTGCGCCCCTTTGCGACGTCAATTCTTTGAATTTTCTGGGCCTCACATGATTGATGGACGTAGGCCGGTTTACCTGACCTGGTGATTTCTTTTCTTTTCTTTTTTTTTTTTTTTTTTTTTTTTTTTCTTTTGCCCTCTCCTCTGATAGACCAAATGGGAGAAAACGCAGAGCCTGCCCGCTTTCTTGCCTCTCGCTTCGACTACATCATTGTCGGCGGGGGCACAGCCGGTTCGGTCTTGGCCGCCCGTTTGAGCGAAGATGCTACTGTCAAAGTGGGAGTTCTTGAAGCAGGCAAATCCCGAGTCGGCGATGCCCATGTTGACTCGCCCTGGGGAATTTCCCAGATGCTGTCAAATCCGGAGTATGACTGGGCGCTTGAGACTACTCCCCAGGTATCAGATAGTCCATCGTCCTAAGCGAAGGCGTGGAACGAACGCTAATGACTCCACGCAGGCTGGGACCAATGGCCGAGTCCACCATCTGTCTGGGGGGAAAATGCTTGGAGGATCAAGCGGGATCAATTTCATGTCATATTGCCGGCCATCGGCGGCAGATATTGACCACTGGGGACGGGGGGGAATCCAGGGCTGGACTTGGGGCGAGCTCGCCCCGTACTATAGTAAGGCCCAGTGCCTTGAGCACGATGTCAGTCGCCGGGACGATTTAGGATCAATCAAAACCTGTCTTCCAAAATGGGACCTGCCGATCGAGCCGGCCATGATCGATGCCCTGAACACCGCCGCGGGCACTGTGATGCCATCAGACCCATGGTATGGAAACCACCTCGGCTTCTACAAGTCGCTGTCGACGCTGGATTACGGCACCACCAGCGAAGCAACTAAGCAGAGATGCCCTACACGAAGCTATGCAGCTTCGGGGTATCTCGCCCCCGTCATGCACCGCAAGAATCTACAGGTTCTCGATGAAGCCACAGTGTGCCGTGTGTCGCTAGTCACTGAGCCGACCAAGGCGCCTCGAGCGCGCTGGGTTCATTTCTGGTACCGGGGCTCCTGCCACCGCATCCTGGCAACAAGGGAGATCATCCTATGTGCGGGATCACTGCACAGCCCACATCTGCTGGAGCTTTCGGGCATCGGAGACCCAGATGTTCTTCATACTGCTGGGATCCCCTGTCAGGTCGCTCTGCCGGACGTGGGCAACAATCTCCGAGAACATCCTATGGCGTCCGTCACCTATCATTTACAAACACCCGAAGACATACTCCCAAGGGGACCAACTAGCCATGATCGGAAACAAAACACCACGGCATGCCCTTTTAGCTTGACTGGCTTTCTGCCCTATACAGCCCTCGCCCCAGCGGACAAGATTGAGCACACTATCGCCAACGCGAGATCTGGCATCACAGACACTGACACCGCCACAACACGAACGACCACCCATCTCCTCGCGCGGTTACAAGACCCAGAATCCGCAGCCGTCCAACTGATCGGGTATCCCAGGGGCCTCAATCTCGGCAGCCAATCTCCCGACCGAGGGTCATACAGCCTGCTTGTCATCGGTAGTCACCCTATTTCCCACGGCAGCTGCCACGTGCAGTCGGGGGATCCGTTCGCAATGCCTCGCATCGATCCCGGAATTCTCCAGGAGTCGCCCGATGTGGACGTGCTGGCCGCGGGAGTGGCATTCGCCGATCAAGTCTTCCACTCAAAGCACCTCGTCGGGCGCATCGCGGAGCGCGCACACCCGGGCCCCTCGATTGACTTTACTGATCCGAATCAGGCTAAGGAATTTGTTCGTCAGTCTGCCGTGGCCTTTAATCATAGTATCGGAACCTGTGCCATGGGCTACGTGGTCGATGACCGTCTCCAGGTGAAGGGCGTGGCCGGCCTCCGTGTGGTCGACGCCAGTGTCATACCACTGCATATCGATGGGAATCCAGTGTCGACGGTGTATGCGCTTGCTGAACGGGCATCCGATCTGATTAGGGAGGAATCGAGGAGGAGGCTCTCGACATTGTGACTAACATCCAGAACGTGCACGGGAAGGAAGGATGCGTTTCGCTGGTGGAGTAGTAACGCGGGGCGGGTTACTGAGTAGGGCATCAAGCCAGTACGGGGAAGCGCGGGGAAGACCGCCGGTCAATGCCAGGGATATGTCAACTACTTAGCATACAACTACGTAAACCAGCGCTGTCATACCATCAAACCCACACGCATCAAGTTCCCATACCGTTGACGCATGGGTGAGACACGGGTCCGACGCAGTCTCAAAATCAAATCAACCAAGATCCTCAAGGAACTCCCATAATCGCAGAGCAAACCACGAACAACGCAGTCAACTATTGACAATCTCTGCTATGCCGACGCAAACCGACTCCTCCGCCGCAGCGACGAACCCCAGAAAAAGAATACGTACATACCCGCGACGCAAGCCCCTGTAAGCCCTGCGATCAACGTGGTTCCTCGAGCCACACCCAGTCGCCTATATAGCGGGCCCGCCCAAAGGATAGCCGCGAAAGCGAGAGTGGACCGCGCGAAGTCATTTGCCGCGAAGACGCTGGCCGCGTAAGCCGGGTACGCCATGGCGATGTATCCGAAGATACTTTGCATGACCATGGTCATTCCAGAAGTCTCAATCAGAAATCCAACGGTGGGGACGGACCAATGGATAGACGGCCGGGAGGTCCACGCGAAGATCAATAGGCCTGTTGGCACCAGCAGCGCGCCGAGTAGTCCGGGGATGAGCCGCCGCTCCGGCGTGATCGACGGGCCTTGTCCCCTCTGCCAGGGACGTTGAATTCTGTAGTAGACAAAGGCAAAATAGAATGGTAGGACGATCAAGGTTCCAGCCACGGTCGTCAGGAAGATCAGGCCCTGTTGGCCGAGGTTCATCTCGTATATGTCGTGGTACACCAGCGGGAAGACTTCGAAGAAAGAATAGAAGATTGCATACAGCAATGCGATGTATACCGTGCTGAAGAGAATAGCCGGATCCTGGGCGTTGATTTTCCACGGAATAATAAGAGCGCTGCGCAATTGTTGTCCGATGGATGAGGTGTTAACGTCAACGTCTGCTGGAGCCTTGAAACAGACTCCACCACGGAGAGCACGCAACCTCCGGGCCCGTTGGTGCAAGATCTTCAAGGCGAATGTCTCGGGGAGGAAGCACTAGTTGACGGGTGAGTCTAGTTGGGAAGCGCCGAAGGCTGTGCATCTGTCGATCGTCATGACGACGACGGAGGGGACTCACCATGAAGAGCAGACACGCGGCCGACGCCCAGAGGACCTCCCACATCGACCACCGCCACCCTTTCACCGGAACACTAAAACCGGCAATGGTCGGTGCGATTGCCGGTGCAGCAACAGTTGCAACGGCCCAAATATAGAGTCCATAGGGTATATAGACGTCGGCGGTAATGTCGGCGATGGAGGCGGCCCCGGTCGCCAGACACGGGGAACCAAACAATCCCTGTAGGAAACGGATCACCATGAATCCAGGGACGCTACTTACAAGGGCACAGGGCACACTGAGGAGCACGAAGATAGTCAAGGATATCAGGTACGGTGGGTTCCGTCCTATCTGCGGGATTTCCGACAGGGGGCTGAAGAGCATCGGGCCCAGTCCATATCCCAGCACATAGATGGCCAGTCCCAGAGATGCGACAGAATTTGGAACATGGAATGTCCCCATGAACTCCTCATGGGCCGGCGAAATGATGGAGGAGGACAAGTAGATGACAAAAGTGTAGACGGTGATTTGCAGGTAGACCATGACCTTGGCTCCAATCGGCCAGTTTTTGGGATTCTCCATGTCGGCGCTTGAATACCATCCCACCAGGATGGTGCCATCGACTCGGACTTCTGGCTCGATCCACCTGCTTATTGCGCCTCCCGAGTCTCCATCCGACTCCGTTGCTGGGGTCAACGCTGATGAGGTCCGCCGTCAATGGTCATCGTTCTCTCGGGCAAAGGACACAGTGCCACCTACTCTCATGTTGGGTAGACAGTCTGCGTTTGGTCCCATCCTCCTCTTCCGTGAGACGGGGGAGGGACGCGCGGGATTGCTGCTGATCGGCTAGGGCTTGGTATGGAGGCGGCAATCGAAAGTCCGACTGGTTCTCGCGGCTCACAAAGAGTCTCCCTCCAGACATCCAGGCCACAGTCTGGCCAAAAAGCGAGGTCTTGAGTACAGCCTCCATGGGTCAAAAAGATATCATCAGCCAGCACAGATTGACATTTCGAGGGCTGTGCAGCTATGAATCACTCGCAAAATCCCCATTAGCCAGGGCAAGGGGCACCCGATCTCTTGACTCTTGCTGCTTCCCCCACACCCTTGCTTTTCTTCCTTTCCTTGCTTGCCCGATTCGGCCCATTCCAGCCAAGTATGTGCAACCCCTTGCGTTGTGATATCTGAACATGATGCAGGGGCTAGTCTCGAATATTCGAAGAGCAATGACTGGTCAAAGTTCGAGGGTCCAGCTCGCCAATTCGCCAGGTGCGAATTTACCAGTAATTACTGGGTTTATTACTAGTAATATCTATAATTTACTTATAATTAACTATAGTTTAACTAGTAAGTCTTTAGTATTACAAATACCAGTGTTTTACTAGGTGCTGTACCTGGTGAGGTCATGTATTTTACTACTTTATATATAGTAATTACTAGTAGTTTCTAGATATACTAGATAATCATAGTAGTCAAGCACCTGGCTGTCAAGACCCTAGGATCTTGTTACGGAAACCTAACGTGGTCGACACCACAGGAGTAGATACTAAAGGATATATAAGGACACTCATTTACCTGTATCTACAGTTTAGTTAGTCACGTTCAATCACAGTCTCAAGTCTGAGTATATATTCAGTCTAGTTTCCACTCGTCCACACTTAACCTAAGTATTAAGTATATATACTTGATATACCTTACTTCTCTTCTTGCTTATTAGTTACCTTTAGACTATTAGATTATCTTGTTAATTAATATAATTAGCATGACCACTATGTGAGGCCTCAGGTTAGTCTAACCTATTATTAATAACTGATAGGAAGATCGCAGGGTGCTCTTCACCTTGAACAACCCAAGCCACTAACACTAGCATAGCAGAAGCTTGAAGGGATCCTAGGGTCTCGACACTAGGGTCTTGACACCTATTCACTTTCCTATGGACCACGAGAGTCCAACAATATTTACTTACCAGATAGTGTACTAAGTATTTCTTTATATTAATTCTTCTAGACTTTACTAGTTATCTCTAGTTATTTATAATAATATCTAGTCTGATTATTATATTATAAAGACTAGTAATATTTTTTTATATACTGTATGAAATATAAAAACACTATATTAAGGTATTAAGCTCGCCAGGTGCTTGACTACTATAATTATCTAGTATATCTAGAAACTACTAGTAATTATTATATATAAAGTAGTAAAATACATGACCTCGCCAGGTACAGCACCTGGCGAAACACTGGTATTTATAATACCAAGGACTTACTAGTTAAACTATGATTAATTATAGATATTACTAGTAATAAACCTAGTAATTACTGGTAAATTCGCACCTGGCGAGCTCGCCAGGTGTACCTGGCGAATTGGCGAGCCCTATAATCTCAAAGTTCCGACCGTGATTCGACCAGCGAGTAAGGTATCTGATTTTCAATTTTCGGTACGCAACTAGTCACTACGACTGGTAATGGGGGCACTCGCTCCGAAGTGATGGCTTGGATCCCATTGATGTTTCAGCGCCCCCAACCTCTCCAGATTCTTCTCTCCATACCATGCGGCAGGCCCTTCATCTCCAATGGCCTGATTAACGTAGACATGAAGGCCTGCGTAGCCCATGGCTTCGTTGAGGCGTTCCCGGGCTCGTCTCACGAAGTCATTTACAATGTCGTCATATTCCGGCCCAGGGTACGTCGCGGACAGGCCTCTGGAATTCGGCAGCAATGTGTCAGCGTAGAAAGACTATGAAGGACTTGTGCGTCTGACATACACGTTCACTTTGGTATCACGCCACGGGTACACTCCTCGGTGGTTCTCGGGCACCGTTGTCACAAATCCTGGGGACAGACGTTGCCACATCAACGTGGCATTCAACCAGGGACGTGCGGCTGCAAATTCGGTGAGGTTGTGAAGGTACTCGGAAAGGGCGATCGGGTCGGTCCGATGGAGGCCAAAACTACATAGGCTGGTGTATTTGCCTCGCTCACATTCCGGCGGGTCTGGGGACTGGTTATTGTGCCACGGGATTGTCTCGATGGATTGATAGATCGGGTTCAGTCCCTGGATCTGATCTAGATACTGTTGTGCGGCCTCCTTGCGCCCAGTAAAGTCGAATTTCATCGTGATGGTGGGCTGTTGCACATTATCAGTCTGCTGGGCTTTTCGGCGGTGGCGGGTTGGAGTCAATCACCTTCCGACTCGTCTGGTCGTATGACAGATGAACCCCCAGGAAAAGTTCCGGGGGTATGTGGTCGTCCCAGGACTGTAGCAGCTCAAAAACGGAGAGGTTGCCAATGGGCGCAAATTGAAAGATGGCTTGGATGCGGTTTCCAGCATTGGTCTCATCGTAGATCCGGTACCTGGCGGAGGTGACAACACCAAAGTTGGCGCCGGCCCCGCGGATGGCCCAGAAAAGATTCGGATTCTCATGTGGGCTTACGGTCAACAGTTCTCCAGCTGCTGTGACCAGGCGAACGGAGAGTAGTGCGTCCAGTGTTAGGCCATGAATTCCGTACAGTGGCCCCAAGCCCCCTCCAATGGTGGTCCCGACTGTATTGATGCAGCGCTCGGTGGTCAGAGCTGAGCCGTGCGGTTAGTGGGTGTGCCTCCTCACTAATCCAGCCAGAAAGAACAGGCCACTAACGTGTTTCTTTCCGAAGCGATGCCAGCAGATCGTAGAGCTGGGCATTCTCAACCCCACTCCCAATCGTCACCAAACTACCAGCCAAATCGACTTGGACCGATTTCAAGTTGCTCAGGTCGATATTGATGGCGTCCCGGACGGCCGAGAACCTCATGCTGACTCCGTGCCCTCCCCCTGTGACGAAGAAGGGAAGTTCTGCCTTTGTGGCGGTTTGCACCTGGTGATCTCTGAGCATCGGATCCGTACCTCTCAGGGGAAAACGGCGGCCAAACTCACAATTTTCTGAACATCTTCCTCGGTAGCCGGTTTTATTGTAGCTATATATGATGGGGTTTTGAATGTAGACCATCGTGAGATGACCGGACCGCAAACTTTGTCGCTTGGAAGGCAGATTTCCGCACCCGGCGACAGGACCGGGCTGAAAAGTGCGGGGATGTTAGGGTTGGTTCCCAGAGCCATGGCCAGCATGAAAGGGGCAATCAACATTGGTGCGGCGAACAGCATCATGGTGGACTTTGTGTCACGACAGCCATAGAAAACAAAAAATCCGTTAAATCTGTTCTTCAAGGTGACTCAATTCCGAACTTGTAGCGTAGCTGTACACAGAGTCAGAGTTGCCAGGGTGGATTTGAGGTTATATCGTCGATCTCGCCCCCCACCCAAACAGCGTGACCGTCCAAGCGGTCTCAAGCCACACAATCCTTGCGCAGGATAGAGGGCGCCCTGCAGATTGCTTCGAGCCCATAGCACCTTGTGACAGGGTGCATTTTATGACATTGATATTCCCCTTGCTTTGTACTTGTTTTTTATATCGAACGGACGACCTCGGCTCCAGGGGCCTTTTACCCGCTTCACTTTTGTCCGCAACAGACAATGGATCCTCGGAAAGGTAACTACTGTCTCACAAAGTAGGAGTATTCTGGCTATCACTATGCATTCTTCTACCTCTCCGGAACATTGCCCGTGGTTCACCGTTTATCTCCACGGGATTTGCATGGTTTCATCCAATGCAGGCAGCAGAGTGCACATGATCTGCGGATCCGATCACTTCAAGCGAACCGGTTTAACCGCCTCAGCTACTCGCCTCCTTGCCTGTATATCTGGAGGTGCTCCATCGGGGCCTGAATTTTCAGTTGATCCACCAACGGTAGACCCACCGACGAGGGCATCCCGTTCGAAAGAAGATCATGCGTTAGCGTTGTGGAAGCAATATCGCATGCCAAGTAGAGAAGGAGGTAGCTTACCGCTATCTACGAGAGTAAGGTCACCCGGGGACAATAACTCGCGATCGATCCAGAATGTAGCCTTCGTATCCTTCCACTTGTCTGCCTCGATGTAGATTAGGTTAAAGACACCCCCGGGAGGTCTGGCAACCTATTGACCTTCTCCATCAGCGGGAAGGTACCATCAAGGAGTGGAGAGTACTCCCGCTTTCTCGCAAGAGGCTTCGAGTGGTTGGATCTGGTTCGCCGCCTCTTGCCTCTCAAAAGTTGATGAAGATGATTGATTCCCTTCAATATTGTTATTCTATCGAAAGAGGAGAAGGCGGTTGGAGGATTTTATTCGTTTATCACGTGACTTATATATGGGAACAAACAATATGGTACTTTCCGCTCCTTAGAGAGAATCAACTACGTTTTTGGGAATCATCTTGCTTAGGATATGAGTCTCAAAGGCTTTTCATTATTTCTAAAAAGAAAAAAAAAGGGGGGGGGGAGGGGGGAGGGCTAAAATGTGTGGAAAGGGAGGATGGAAAACGCTGCCGAAAGGATGAAATTGATGATATTCAGAGTTATGGAAAAGCTTGCAGATAGTTGCTCAATGGTCGAAGATAGGAGATGAAAAAACAATGGGAAAAAGACTCTGCAGACGCTTCTGGTCAGCTGACATGCCAACCGATTGCAGTCACTGCTACAAAATGAACAGGGAAAGACTTCGAGCTGGCGAGATATCCCTGTACGTATGTAAGGTCGGTTGTTTCTGCCGGGGGGAAGGATCCGAATCCTTACTTAGGATCATACCTGAGTAGGAGTAAGAGGGTTCGAAAGGGAGGGTGAGGGTGAAAGCTTGGGGGGGAATTTTTTTTTCTTCTTTGTATGATTTATATATTCCTATTATTGTATTTACTTTTATCGTGGCCAATTCCTTTTTCTACGAACTACATTTATGTGTCCACCTACATACCTTATTACCTACTCTGTACTACCTGTTTGATCTAGGTACCTAAGGCAAGTATATATCTTAGTGTGCTGTTGATATCACATCATATCAGATCACATCGTGTCATATTTTGATTTGATTTATTTGGTGTTATTAGTGGGTTCGTTGTAACCTACTAATGGATTGCATAGGATTGTTCTTGTATGGTATGGATGGATCTCGTTTTTTAGTTCCTGACTATTTTAGTCAATCATATCAAGTGAATATCTACTTAATTGAACTAATACATCAGACTAGGTAATATTGAAAAAGAAATATGGTTAATTGCGTCGCCGCATCCTGTGAAGGTCTAGGTAGTAGTGATATCTATAATACATGTAGCCCGTGTGTAACAGACACCAACAAATCATAAGAACAAGATAGAGTCAAACTGTATGTCTGGAAAGACATGGAAGGAGAAGAAGGAAAACACCCGAAAGACAAAACAAAACCTTTTGCCAGACCCTTGACACCAAGCGATGCTTTGCTGAAAGAACACAACGCAATCAGGACATGTCGCTAGCTCTCACCTAGCCAGCAAGTGTCGGCCGTGTCAGTGCCTTGTGATAAGGCTTGAAGCAGACAGAAAAACCGCAAAAAAGACAGAAAGATGGGAAAAGAAGGCAATGGAAGCGAAAACGAGGACGGAAAAGTGGAGATATGCAATGCGACGCATGTCTCTGTGGTGGGTTCTTGTGGGTTCCCTTTTGGTACTTTGAATGACTGGTGAGGGGCCCATGGCTAGCTTTCGATTCCACGCCTCGTCGAGTTCATTGTGGTTTGATGGCTGGCTGGCTGGCTGGCGGGAATGGATTTCCGCTGGTCATGATTCGTTTGGGAACTTCCAGACGTATCAACAAGATACACCGAACTCGAAACGCCATAGAAAAAGAAATAGAGATCGAAGCAACGAGGAAGAATCAAAAGAAAAAGAAAGGGGGTAGGAAAGACAAGGATGTGGGGGGGTTAAAACCCTGCAGGTACCATGCAGGGATGTACTGCAGCAAAGACGTTTAGGGCATCTTTCCCTAAAGTCCCAGGGTTCACATCGGGCTAGACCGGGGCGGAGAAGTCAGCTACAAATGCAGGCAAGGATAAAGAAACTAAAGCCCGTTTGTCACACAGCCGTTCCATGTACCGGCTTTGTGTGTCACCCAGAGCAGAAAGCAGACAACTTACCATTTGGGGCGTACGGCATCGTGTACAGCAAACACCATGTAACCTGTAACCCCCGCCACTTACGCTTTAGCGGTGTGGCATGCGTTACAGCGACAGTGGCCACAGATCTTGCAGCGCCAGATGGCCACAAATGGTCCCGAATTGCAGTCGGAACAGCGCCAGGTCAGGATATTCCCATTGGTGGCCTGCACGATGGCGAATACATGTCCGGAGCATTGGTTGGCCATTTTGGATGCTGTTCCCGACTGTGTTAGCACCCGCCGTGCATGGTGGACATGACTGACTTGCCATGGTGGCAAGCCCCCGGGCACTTACTGGTTGAATTTATCCGGTGGTGTTGAATAATTCACGCGGTGGACGAACAGAAGTGTGGAAGCCGAGGCAGACAGAGGACTGGAAGTCTTCCAATTGGGACCCAATGAGTGCAGGAAGTGCAGCGGTGGCGTGCAGTCTGGCGCAAGGGAAAGTGAGACAAAAGTCAAAGATGAGACTCTCGAGGTCTAAGGCGGCAGATAAGTAAAATGGTGGACGGTTCACCGAGAACGTATCAGGCGAGAGACTGAAACAGAGGAGGAGAAGAGGGAAGAAGAATTGATGATGCTGGTGAAGAAGGTCGAAGAGAATGAAGCTCCATAGTATATATAGGGCAAGCTTCCAAATAGGACCAGGAACAGGGAGTGAGGCAGCTCCGAAGAGGAATGAATGATGCATGGATCGCTCTATTCAGCCCCCCCGACGCTCCCAGCAACTGCAGTACCAATCCAGGCCGTGAGAAGGAGCTGCATAGAACGACCTTCCGGTCCGTTTGATGGCAATTGTGATGCAACTACCCGATTGATTATCGGTGAAGGGTCATTTGCGAAGTGGGGAAAAAGCCGAGTCGGCGTAGCTGAGATGTGGTATGGAGAAGCGAAAAAGAAAGTAAACAGGTAATTGATAGATAGAGGAAGTCATAAAGAGAGAGAGAGGGGGAGAGAGAGAGAGACAGAAAGAGTGGAAGAAAGGTTTGGATAGAGGGAGAGAACTATCCCGAAACCGAAAGGATCGAAATCGAAATCCAGCAATATGAGAAATAGATAGAGAACAAAAGATAAATAAAAAGAAAAATACCAATAAAAAAAATATTTAAATAAAAGAATACATCAACTCAAGTCAAATAAAAGGCAAATAACAATAGAAATAATGTATGACACTAATCAAATTAGATTCAACCTAACCAGATGAGATCGAAAGCCACCCAATGGAAGAAGTTTAGCGGAGAGATCAAACAATGGGTGCCCGCAAAGGAAAGAGACAAATAATAAGGATGAAGAGTCCCAGGAGGACAATGATCATCCTGCAAGTCCCGAAAGACTGGAAGGGCCCTCAAAAAAGTGATAGATACATCGACGGTGGGGCAACGACCAGAATGATTCTGTTTTCTGGACATCCACCCAGGGCCCGAAGGGGTTAAACCTGTCGCCCGACTAGTTTGGATGCATAAGATGCTGACGCTGGGGGAATTATTGACCGATGCAAAAGGTTGACGATCATCCCATTTCACGCGTCGCGAGGGTCTTTCGCAGTATCCCCGTGTGATCCCCAGGATCCCTGGATATATCATCCTCCTGGTCGATGGAATCGGACCCCTTTGATTGGCGATCGAGAGTGCCAACCCCACGATCTCGGTGGTTATCTTTCTTTTTTCTTTTTTCTTCTTTTTTTCTTTTTTTAGAGGCGTGTCGATCGTAAGATTACTATCCAAGCATTGCCATGCAAGCAGGTCGATGGGATACGGTGTATACGGTGTCTGTGATACTCAAGCGAAAGCAGGGATCCAGATGCGATTCCCCTTCCAGTATTAGAGCAAATGAGCCTCGTAGATTCCTGATTCCTCCCTCGTATGATTCGATGGTCCTGCCTCATGATACAGAGCCATGAGGATGATGGTAAGGCCTGGTTAGGGTTAGCCGTGGTTAATCTACAGGAATTCCCAACATGTTTCACATCGTCAAACAATGACATGACAATTCTACTCCCAATGAAAAGTTTCCTCACCGACGGTCGACAATGACCTCAATCAAACGTCACACTGTCTGAGCTTAGACTAACCTCCAGGAAGTCAAGTCAGTCGACCACCGCATCGGGAAGTAGAGACAAATCAAAGTGGACCGATGAGATCCTGGTATAGACATCTCGGTCTTCATCCACCTGTTTGCTTCCACCATCCTCTGTCTAATGTCTATCACCGAGCTGATCCGGCAACAGCCACAAGATTAACGTGTGAGATCCTTCCCAGTAAGATAGATGAGGGGTGTGGATCTTACCCACCGTCAAAGCAGGGGTGTCCTGGTCATCGGTACAAGGAATTGACATCCAACGTTCTCGAAGTGAATGGAACAACGCCCCCTGTCGTTGTCCACGGGGTTGCTGCTCACCGTTGTTGTCCTTCGTTCCGTACAGACGCGGATGCACCTCTACTTCCGACAGCCAAAGGACGTCCTTCTGAACGTATCATGAAACGACCAGTCAACCTGACAAGGGTACGAGACTCGCACAATTCCATTTTTCTTGGCCTCCATGTCAGCTGATCGCGGGCCTTTGCAGTCGATCCCTCGGACCCGCCAACCAGGTTCAAGACGAAGATGGCTTTTCTCTTGATTATGGGTAGGTTATATTAGGTAGGATGGGGATTATTGGAGGAGATGACCCACCGCACTCCTTTCCGTCGGCTCTCAGCTGCGCGCAACATGACCAGTCCGGCGAGTAAAAAAAGGGAACTTCGAAAGATATGGACTCCAGGGAAGGAGCTGGATCTTGGCAAATCCCACCATTACGGAAAACCATCCATCATCCGTGAAGCAGATCAAGCCCACAAATTCTAACAATAGCAAGCAATCCAGCCCTCCATCCAGAATGGCGCCCCCCTCAAGAAATCCAAAATCAAGCCCCCGGGGAACCAGTATGATTCCCCTTCGCAGTCTCCACCCGACGGCCCCCTACCTAGCTTCCTAACAAATCAAGTATGCAACTTCCAATAGGGAGAGACAGCGCGCTGGATCTAGTTCTCAGTCGGGAGCCGCTAAGGGGCTGATCGAATGGCGCTCCACAAATCACCGTCGCCCTTTCAAGCCCTTCCGTCCCCCCCTGTCCGACATTTCTGGGACGCCTGCAGCCATGATCATCCAATGCTGGGACTGGATTTGGCACTCGACTAAGGTAAGTAAGGAATGAGAGAGCACGCGGTGCCACCGAGTGCCCTGAGCCCCAATTGTCGAGGCAAGTTGCCCAGTCCATTGGGACATCCTAGCTGTGCGGCCCGTCATCCGCTCAGGCGCTAGAATCATGATGCTATCCACATGGTCAGTTTGGAGGCCGTAGGTACTTTCCTTCTGGGAATGGGTAGACATTGGTATCATTGAGAGGAAGATGTCGAGAAGAGGAAGAAAGAGTAGGAAGAAACAAAGTGCCATTATTTGCAAGCCATCGGGTCGATCGATCGTATTTCCACCCTCGGTCATCCCTGCTTGACGGGGAGAAAAAGACCGGCAGCGATCCGAGATGAAGCCGTACTTACCATAATAAACAACAACAACCAAACCTCATCATTCCGAAAGCCAATTATCATCCCAATCCAGCAATCGACATCTCCTCGACCCAATCGGACCTGGAATAATTTCCCCCATCTCAGCCCTTAGTCCGCAAACCTCTCCTGATCTTCCAGATATCTTTCCCAAGATGTTTCGTCTCGCCTAACTACACTATCCACTACACTAGCTCTAACTAACCAGAGCCATTTATCGACTCGTCTTTCGTAGCGTTGGACTGAATCCTACCCTCCTCTCCCTCCCAATTCCGATGACGCATCGTACTTTTGGCCCTTTCTGACAGGTCTTTTCTCTCGTTGCCTTCTTGGCTCTAGGGTCGCACATACTGACGGGCGGCGGTCCCCATGAAAGATTGGAAGGTCCACTCCATCGACAAGGATTTAATTTTCCGTGAAATTAGGCTAGACCGGTGAATAACTAATATATGGGACTAGAAAATGTCAGGTCGGCTTGCAGCCTTGGATGCAGCCTCGATTGTGGTGGCGCTCTGAGACACGATCGATCGGATGACTCTAGAACAATAACATAGCAGCGTTCTTGGTCTTTGTCGTTCATTGGCATTGTTGTGATGAAGGATTGTTAGGCTAGGGTTGACTGATTAAGTAGGTAGGTAAGTAGGATCTTGAAGAACCGACCTCGCTCTCTATCTCTAGTCAACTGTACCCCTGCAATCACCCCATCGCATCGCATCGCGTCTTAAGCCGTAGGTAGACACACACACACACACCATCCGGTTGGATGCATCCTCGACGTCAGGTCTACCTACCAACCGTTGACGGTGACGTTAACCTGTTGCACCCGAAAGGAAGCAAAGCCTGGCATGGCCTGCTCTCCCGTCGGAACGTCGACGTATTGCCAACCCGACCTCTCTCTGTGTGTGTGTGTCTGTCTGTCTCTCGCATTGCATTGCATCCTTCTCAGCGGCGGATTCGCGCACACCGCCACCTCCAACCATCAATCAATCAATCAATCAATTAGAATCAATCAATTAGATGATCCCGCTTGATTTCCCACATATGCGCATATCCACATCCCCTCTCAAAGCAGACACAAACATGCGATATTCTCCGAGTGGTTCGAGTGGCTGGCTCTACTGGGTCCATCTCTCTCCCTACTGAATTGCCAATATAGAAGGATATGTATGATATCCACCCTCACACAGCGACGTATGCGTAGTCGACGGTCTTCCGTCCCGTTTCGTATTACATCCATTCCGAACCCGTTGTCCAGTCGTCCATTGAGCCCAGCTGGTGGCCCCAGGTATCCGATACCGATCTTGCCACTACCTAGGTAGAGGCTGGTCGGATCGCCTTGTCTGGTGAGAATCGAGCCGGTGAGAGATGATGGGTTTAACAAGAGTCGGAATCTTGCAGCGAGTTGTTACTGGGAGACAGGGCAGGAAATTAAAATTGGGAGCCTAGGGAGTAGGAGGGAGGAAAAGTGCCGTAGTATCGAATCGAAGGTGATTTTCTTTGAATTTTGTACATTTTTATTTTGCAAAAGGGTAAAAAGATAGAATAAAAGAGAAAGAAATAGATAAATAGATAAATAGATAAAAAATTGTTTCATACTACGAATCCAAAAGGAATTTAAAGGTATATACTAAATGTCAGAGAAGATGTTCAAGTACACCATTTCCACAGGCTCAACGCCAGAAGTCCTAAAACTTCAGAAAATGGTGCCTCGACTCCTCGTTCAACTCTATGGTCATCAACCCTCCCACATCAAGTGACATGAGAAGATATCAACTTATAAAGCCGACTGTATGCTCTCCCAACGCTCCGTTAAGGACATCTTTGTAAACTAAGTCGGGAGAATGACCTCCGTTCTCACAAAATGCCCCTGCAGTACCCAGAGTGGACTGCATCGCTGGTGTAAGGTTGTTTGCAACCTCATTTGGCTCCGAAAGGGCCGTCTCATATGTTGTTGGATTCCAACAATTGCTTGCGCTCGTCATCCTTCTCTTCATTCTTTCATATGGTATCGATCTGTTAACTCATTTGTATTCATCATAATAGCCGGTTGGCAAGGAGAAATCATGGCATGGATAGTGCCCACATATTGTGGAGAAATCAATCCGCCAATGTAAGATAAAGGGGGGGGTAGTCATCAATCTTCTCATCGTTACTTTCTTCAATTGTCGGGTTGCCAAAATGCACCAAGCCTGTGCGATATTGATCCCTCATGGACCTCGGACAGACATAAGATACTTCAATGGATTTACTCATTGAGGTGGAAGAGTGCCGAAACACTGCGATTATCATTAGCCATTCAGCCCCGGATACACTACTGGAATCCTCCGACTAACCTTTCTCCGTAGTGATGGCGCCGGATGCTCTCAGCAACCAGGCTAGAGATGTCGATGATGATCAACTTCTTCGACTTCTGCATGAGATGCGGGGGTATAGGGAAGGTGTTCGTCACAACAATGTGATCAATCGCCTTGCACGCTTCCATTTGCTCCAGCGATTCTGTACCAAAAAGACCATGGGTAGCGATGCAGTAGACCTTCTTGGCCCCACCTTTCCTCACTACTGTTTCCGCTGCGGCAATCCAGGAACCGGCCTTGTCGATCATATCGTCGACGATAAACACGGTTCTATCTCGGACATCACCAACCAGCGTGATGGTCTTTTCGTGCTCTTTGATGCGAGCGACGCTAGCCTCATCGTCAGACGATTCAGCGGCATCGAAAGAGCCACCCAAAGCATGGTCGCCCGGGAGAGATGGCTGAGTCGAGATGAGCGAATCCGCCATCGGATCGGAGATGCCATCCACACCATCCGGGTTGGATGTTTTCCCTGGTGTCGTATCGCCAGACTGGGTACCAGACGTTTGAGTGGGAGTAGGATAATCATCATCGACCAGGTGACCCTGGACCAATCTCCCCGTGATCACGTCCCGTACGCGTACGTCCGTAGTCTCATTCGCGGCTTCTAGCTCCGAGGGACGACGGGCAGGTGGGGTCTCTGGGCGCAAGTAGTCGATGGCAGCCGTGCTCTTATCATCAGACTCGGACTGCGAGCCGCTTGGTGCAGAGGAATTCTGACCAGACACCAAGTCCTGATCGACGAAGGGGTCCTGGTCTGTCGGGGCAGGAGTCATCTCATCGATGGAATCAAAGAAGACCGTGCTGTCAGACATCTTGACGGACATCTTCGGGCGCCTTCTATCCGTCGTGACGATCCCGAAGTTGAGCTTCAGGGTGTCTGCCAATGATGTAACCCGCTTGGTACCCCCAGCATTTTTGCTAACGACCACGGCCTCCTTCCAGCCCGGGACATTCATACGGATCCAGCGGGCAATAAAGGGTTCTGCGAACAGGTTGTCCACAGGTTTCCCAAAGAATCCTTGCATTTGTGATGCCTAGTACACGTATCCTAGTAAGCATTCTGCTCGAAATCCGACAAGGGCATTCCACTTTGCGTAAAACAGCACCCTCAAGGGACGGTATAACTCACATGCAAGTCCAAAGTAATCACGTGGTCCACACCAGCAACAGAAAGCAGGTTCGCAAACATTCTAGCGGTGATGGCACCGCGGTGGCTCTTCTTCTTGGATTGACGAGAGTAAGGGAAGTACCTCGAAGGCCGTCAGTATCAACAGAGCAATACACAATCTAGAAGGCATCATACGGTATAACCGCTAATCCAGAAAGACTAATCAGTACGACCGTAGCTAAATTGGAAGTGTGGGGGAGAGGTAACACACCTGTGATGGATTTTGCGGAACCACCTTTGCAAGCAGAGATCATAATCAACAGCTCCATAACGCTGTCATTGATCTTTTCACTGCCGCTCTGAAGGATGTAGACATCCTGGTTCCGCACCGAGACACCAATGTTGACGCTCGTTTCTCCATTGCTGAATTTTCCCAGATCAGCCCGGGCGGGCTGAGTCCCCAATCGCTCGCAGATGGTCTCTGCAAGAGCCGGGTGGGATGTGCCCGAGAAAATCTGAACGCCCCTCATCTTGAAAACGGCTTAAGGAATATAGGGAGACATGGACTAAAGAGAAGGAGAGGGAAGGATGTAGTCAACTTGGAGAAAAAGGGGGAAAACTCATCCCCTCTTGTCTCATGGAGTAAGAAAGATGATGCGGGAGAGAAGATAGAAGAAAGAAAAAAAAAAAAAAGGCGAAGAAAATAGGACGGGAAAGCGGACTAAACGGACTCGAGACCCGCTGCGAACGCGGTCACGTGCCGCCGTCGCTTTCCGTCACGAAAAACAACCCGCATTGATAAGGCTCCCCCGCTGTCTTCTATACGCGATACGATTTAGTCTTCGATTCTCCCAACACTCCAATTATGTCACAGAAATTTCCCGAAGTCCAAGGAGGCGGCTCGCTGATAGTCGCTTGGCAAGTTAGAAACAAAACGATTCTCGTGGTGGGCGGTGGAGAGGTGCGTTGTTCCTTATCAAGAGTCATAGATAGCCACGATTTATATATTGACGCACATGCATAGGTCGCCGCCGGGCGTATTCTCCACGCACTCAATGCAGACGCAAAAGTAACAGTCGTCTGTCCGGCATCAGGCCTCAATGACGAAGTCGCGTTTAGAGTATCCCAAGGGCAAGTCACTCATGTGGACCGCAATTTCGAGCCAACAGACCTAGATGGCGCAGACATGGTCCTGGTCGCCGTGGACGATCCCGAAGCCTCGACCCAGATCTGGAAACTCTGCAAGGAGAAGCGCATCCCCGCAAACATCGCCGACGTGCCTCCAGAATGCGATTTCTATTTCGGCAGTGTCCACCGGGATGGCCCGTTGCAGGTCATGGTGAGTACCAATGGGAATGGGCCAAAGCTGGCCAGTATCGTTCGGAAGAAGATTGCCGATACGCTGCCTGATAATATGGGCGCTGCGATTGACAATGTGGGCAAGCTGCGGAAGAAGTTGAGGGAGGTTGCGCCGAAGCCTGAAGAAGGACCGAAGAGGATGAAATGGTGAGTTTATGCTCATGTTCCTGATCGTCTTTGTGGCCTCACGTATTAATACTGTTCAGGATGTCCGGAGTGTGCGAGTCGTGGAGCTTGGACGATCTGGTTGAAATGACTGATGACGATATGGATGGCCTCTTGCAGCATTATAAATCTGGCAAGATCCCTACGTTGAGTGACATTCGCTCTTCTACCTAAGGTATTATGGCATTGGACATGGATAATGTGTAACTTTTAAGCGACCCAGGAGTGGCTATGAATATAATGCTTTTCGATAGTCCTCTGGTTTTTTTTGTATGATATACAGCCCCTTTCTACGATTGGATGCCTACAAAGAGGGGAGCATAAAACGACGCGGCATTTAATATGCTCGCTGAGTGTCCACCACTGCCAATAAGATATGGATTACCAGCAACCCCAATTACCGGAGCACCTCTAACACATACACATATAAAAGAAATCTCAAAACCAGCTTGTATTAAAAAAGAGTCAGAAGAAGACAAGATAGAGAAAGGAACAATGCTAATTCTACATTGAATAATAATCATAGAAATCAACCAGACAAGGATATCCAAAAAGTGAAGCAAAGAAACAGCCACCGAAAGGGCTACACGAGAGAAATTTCGCCAGAGAATGCCCACAACGGGACACTTAACGCCCTACGCTGTATTTGCGAGGTGGCTGAATGGAGACGGAGCCCCTGGAGCGATCGGGTGAACGAGGGGGTGTCGGGGTCGGTGGCAAACCGAGTCGTACCTCACCGATCCTACGGAGGAGGGACTGGAGGGCGATGCGGATTTCAGGGTTGAGGTCGCGGCTCAGTAGGTCAACGGTGAGAGGATAGAAGGTCGCGATGTTCTTGTCGAAACCGTCGGACGGGAAGTTGGTGTAGCCTTCGAGAACGTCTACGACCACGGGACGCCATGCGATGATGTTCCGATGTTGGGAATCCTCGTCAAGGCGGACGAAGCTGCTGATGATGTCGGCGCAGAGACTAAACGGTATTGAGTCAGCGTTTGTATCAAACGGATAGCAAGCGTAGGTAGATACTTACGGAATAAGAGCAGCCTCGGTGGCTGCACGGTTGCTTTGCCTTTCCTCCCTCTCATCATGATACATGCGGAACAGGATTTGGACGTAGGTGGCGGCACTTCCGCTCTCCTGTTTGAGAAGGTTCGGCGGCTGCTTCATGAAACCCTGTCGCCACAGCTGCATGCGAAGGTCCTTATCTTCATTGAACTTCTTCGCAAACTGATAGCTCTTCTTCAAGAGCCCCATCAACCGTAACAGTTCAGGGCTGGGGATCTGCGCATAGACCTTGTCGTTGGAGAACAACTCGTGAACAGTCTCAATCATGAGCAACTGAAGGACGCAGTTGGTGATGATTCGGTTGAAGAAACGACGTCGTGCCACGGTTACAGCAGCGGGTTGCTGTTGCGTATCAGGCGAAGGACGGTAGTCCTCTAGTTCGGAATTCGAAGGAGCCGGCATGTCGCCCTCCTCATGCTCGGCGGCCTGCTTCTGCACGCCGTTGGCCTTGGACGGCTCCGCAGCGTTATCCTGTACCGAGAGGGACTCCAGGGTTCCTTGCTGGGCACCTTCCTCGCCGCTTACTTCCTCCCCATTGGGAGATTTGGCCGCGCCAGGGGATCTGGCAGACATCGAAGCGGCAGCCGTGAACAGTTCGTAAGCCGTGGTCCTGCTAAAGAGCTCAACAAAGGCACCGACAACCTTGGTCCAATGCTCCTGTTGGAACTTTTCGACATTTTGGAGAATCAATTGCTGCAAGCAATTGCTGCCAATTCTGGCAATAGTATCATTCTCCTGGCAGATGCAGAGAGTGAGGAGCTCGAGGATTCGTCCAAGCATATATTCCAGAGCGTCGAAATAGTGTGTGAAAAGAGTGATCATGTTTCGCAAGGCCTGGATCATCGTGGTCGAAAGCCACACGGATAACTCTTCGTGATTAGGGACCTTGGACATTTCCGATTTGGAGTGCAACACAACGAAGATAGGGTAAAGGAGCTGTCTCCAGAGAACGTCCCAGAATTCCTGGGGGAAGTCACCACCGTAGCGAATCAATGTATCGAACAGATAGGTCAAGGCACGAGATCGGACTTCGAGGTCATCACCAGTCATCAACACATCCTGGAATGCGATCAAGATGGGATACCAGAATTGTTCTTCTTTGGACTGGCGGGTCAGCTGCTTCGCGAGGTTTGTCGACGCGTCTTGCACGTTCTCAAACGATGACCCACGGTGGGACAAAGGACACTCGGGGGTCCTCAGCATCTTCGTGACTGTCGATTTCAGAGTCTCGATCGCCTGGAGGGACTTCTTTTGGAACCTCATGTTCTTGGAGAACTCGGTGAGACACACAACAAGATCGGGGAAGGCGCCTTGCGTTATCACAACTCCAAATCGCGTGTTATAGATCAGTGACACGTGCTCAAATGCCATGTTGACAATACCCTCTGTTGCTGTGTTAGTATCAGTCGCCCCAAAATTGTATACTTAGGAATACATACCGTATGGTTCCCGGGCCGCGACAGTAAAGACACCGAACATCGTCTTCCAGCCGGACCGGATATTGTCACCACGAGCCTGAATCATCTGGATGAGACACCGCAGGATCATGTCCTTCACAGTGACAGCATTACTGTTGGCCATAACATGCTCGAAGGGCTTGAGGAAATCCTTCTGGAATTTGAAACCAGGAAGTTCTTCGATTTCCATAAAGCGCATCGAAAGCTGGCGAAGAGAATCCAAAGCAAAGAAGACCACCGTTGTGTTAGAATGGCAGCCAACCTGGTTGAAATGTTGACCGAGGACTTCCCAGATCTTGGACCACTCGATCCTGACTCGCGTCATGTTGTAATAGCTGATCTCGACCAACTTCTGCAAGCTGTATGTCCTCGGCGAGTCGGTTTGTCCGGAGGATTGGATCTCTTGCCAGCTAACTTCGCTCAGGGCTCTGATGAAATCAATGATGGCTTCGTGGGAGAGGTTTGCGGTGTTGGTGAAGAGTCTATCCACTCCCCTAATCATATCAGCCGAACGACTTTCCATCGCTACCTCACTGCGGAAAGCTGTGGGGCCATTGATTGAACGAGGACGACTGCGCCTGGTTGATTGCATGGACTTCCGGGATCCATCCGACGGCGATTGCGGTACAATCCGCGCCCGCGAAACGTCCGGCAAGGAACCCTCGTCGACACCCTCACTAAGAAGCTGGAGCCGGTCGAGCTGGCTGATACAGGTGAGAATCTCCCTCCAGGAGCTCTGGAGATGATTTCCTTCCGTGAGGGCGACGTCGAGTAAAGCTTTGAGGGCTTCGACGTTCTTGGCCACCATCTCTCGAACATTTCCGAGATTCGTGAATTTTGCCAAAGCAGTCACAAAGGCAACTCTGGGAGTCTCTAGATCAAACTCGCAGCTGATACGGATGGCGAGCTTCATACCCTCCATACAGAGCTTGATGACCTCGAGGTTCTGAGTGTCTTGCATGGGGGCAGAAAGGCCGGAGAGGAAGGACATCCAAGTCACGTTGAACATTGAACCCACATGGCGGGCCGAAGTGGCGGGGATGAACCGGGAAAGCGCCTCCTTGACTGCAGTCTTGCGCTGAGCCCGGATCAAACTGCGATACAGCTGCTCAGTCTTGTTCGCCATCTCTTCCGAGGCCTGGGCGTATTTCTCTCCCTGAATGTCCCGTCCCACCGTCGCGAATACTTGTCCAGCCCTGGATGCCAGGCCAGCTGGGGCCGACGTAGCAATCCCGACGTTGGCGGCATGCTCCCGCTCAGTATCGAGGACTATTTCGTTGCTGTTGATTTCATCATATATGGAGCCAAGATAGTCATCGGGAAGATCTTGGTTGTCATTAATACCCCGGTTGTTCTTGATGAAGTCCTCCTTTGTCATGCGGCGGCCCTTGATCTTGGCGCTGTGCTGGTCGGTGTTGAGCATGATCACGGAGTACGAAAGGACGTACGCTGTATCAGCATTGGCAAACGCATTGGGATTCTGAGTCACGTAGCGCTCTGCGAACTTCAACATGAATCGATCGATCTTCTGCGCTTCTCCCGGAAGACGGAAATGCTGGAGGAATTGACGGAGAGCATCGACGAAACGCGTCTTCTCGAATTCCATCTGGTCCACAAACGCATGCATGATGGCAATGTTTTCAGGCTCTCCTTCGCCCAGGTATTCACCAATCATAGCCTTATCCAACCGTTCATTGCGGAACAGGAACGCGGCGAGTTCCTCGGGGGCCTCAGAGCGCACAAATCCCTCTTTGACGAACAATTTCATTCCGCGCTTGGGCTTGAAGTTGAACTGCTGAATAGCGTTTGTGAGAGCGATCTTCCTCTGCTTAACTTTCTCGATTTGGCTCGGATCGTCGTCAGCCACCGGGGTGGACCGACCAGTGTTCTCAGCACTGTCGACTCTCGGCGAGGCCAGGAAAGTGCCAGCGTTGGTGTCAATTGATTCTCGGGGGTTGTCAATCGACTTCTGAGAGGCCGAGTGGGGAACCGGCGTGGACTGCCCATCCACGCCTTGCGCCACCCAGCTGTCCAGCGATCGCAAAATCTCTGCCAGACATTCGACCGCTTGGTTCTTCAAGACATAGTCCGAGGGCACATTTTGTAGGTTTGGAGGCTGGACGTTGGCGACATGAGCGGTCGTCAAGGAGGGAGGCAGAGTACCGGACCGGTGCCATTCACGCCCAAGGGATGAGACCTTCGTGTGGTTTTCCTGATACTGTTGTTGCTGTAAGGGACTGATGGCGACCGGTACACTGGCGTATCGGGATAGCTGCTCGATGAGACTGTAAAGTTCACGTTAGACTGAATATGCGGGGAGGGACTATAGGGAGAGAAACATACTTCTGGAAGATGTTTTCCAAGGCCGTTCGGTCGCAGTCGTAATTGAGATACATCTCCACCAAGGCTCTCGGGTCGTCGGCCAACCTTTCTAGGATTTCCATGAAGTACTGCTTTTGAAACGCGGGGGAATTCCGCTTCTCGAGGATCGCCAGGTATATCTCCTTCAGGAACACCTCAAGCTCTTTCTTCATCATCACTCTCATGTCTTTGAGCATGAGCCAGAAGATCTCACAGCAGACTTCGAAGACCCTCGGAACCGAGCTCGACCCATTTCGACTGAGACTCAAGCAAAGATGAGGCCGGACAGCTTGGAGAAGCGTCATCGCATCTAGGCTACTCGAGCTGGTCCTGATGGTCAAGAGTGGGGAGGTGAAAGCGGCAACATGGTTGTTGATGAGATAGTGGATTAGGTGTAAAGACAGCAGCTTCGACCG